AATCAGGCAAAGCTACAGAAATTGCAGAGGTGACTAAGATGTTATTTGTCTTTCACATTGAGTGGGTTACATACCAACTGGCTATTTGCAGAGGCACCTCTCCGCATACTCTCCAATTCAGAACAGCACATTTCCAGCAAGTACAGGGCTTCTGAGACACCTAAACTAGTCAGCAATTGCATGCTATAAAGCAACATTTTAACAACAGGTATTTTTAGATTCACCAGCTCATTCTGCTTCTAAGGATTTTTTCCTGCAAGGTTCATTACTGATACGTACTTTGATGTTAGCGAGCAAATGTGCATCTTGCCGTGTTTGCAGCTAGAAACTGAATAGCTTTCTAAATTGGTATCGATTCCTTACTGCATTGCACATGGAGAGAGATATTTATAGTTGTACAATGAATGTAACCTATCAAAATTATAGTTGTACACACTGTAGTTTATTTTCTTTTTAAAGAAGAGCTGTTCTTACCAAAAGCATTTTCCATTTGTGAAAGCATTCAGGAGCGAAATGCTACGTATCGGACTAAGAGGGTTAATATGCAGATGCCTCGGACAGATGGCATTATTAGTCTGCCTGGGCTCGGCATCTAGTTTTCAAAGTTAAGGAGCTTTGGTTACTTGGATGTCTGACAATCTGAGAATAGCCAGGGCTCTAAGCCCGATGCATCCATAACAGCAATATCCAACAGCGCCTACCGGACTTGGAGTGCAACTGATTTCTTGTTTGCTAAGATCAGCTGCACTGAGGGCACTTAGCAAAAACCCTACTGCAACTTTAGTTTAGGATTCCTGCTGGCACAGACTGACCCAACAACAGAGACTTGAGGGTTTTTTTCTATCCTGACCGCCCAACCTAGACCCGAAGTGTTTCATCTTTTTAACTGTGTTCAGCCTATTCAGGAGATGCACCTCAGGAAATAAAAGAATCTGAAGAATGTCTCTCTTCCTCACCAAACTACAGCTTCTTTACAGCCCTTGCTCTCTCAGCATTCCCATCACACTAAGTTACACTTCTTCCCTTTTTTCCTGTTTTCCCCACGAGATGGATTAGATGTTTTTAAGGGGGAACACATATGATTAAAGCACTCTTTGAACCATACAAAGAGAGGTATTAGCTCTAAAGTGATTATATTTCCTTCCCTTTGTATATTACAGAAATCAAAGAGCTCTGGGAGCAGAAAATGCAGAAAGGACCAGGATTTGTCAAAGGAACATCAAGGAGGAAAGCACCCAATTCCATCAGCTCCTTTCAAAGTTGAAGCATACAGGTAACCGACAGAAAACTCCTAGGTAAAGATACGTAGGAGAAAACCTTTCATTTTGTTATAAGAAATACACCTCTTACACCAGTCAGTACTTGCATCTACATTAGGAATAAATATTCATTAAAGGTAAGCAGAAGTAGAGGTTCTGTGCATGGGTGCATACATGCACATACCAGAAATAAAAGAAGTGTTAACACTTCAACAGGAGACCTAAAAAACCTCTTCAACAAAAGCAAACAGTGCTTGTTCAGGCTAGCTCAAAACTCCTGCTAATGTACTTTAATTGTGAAATACATTTTAAAGCAAAGCAGAGATGTAATTGTTTATTTATGAAATACAAAAATAAGCAGAAAACTCATCTTTAAGAGATACATACACCAGATGACAGAAACCATCACACTAAAAAAGATTTTTAAGGTTTTGTAAACTGCACCTATGACTAAGGTGAATGATGGAAATTTTCAGTTACACTTCAATCAATTAAAATTAAAGGTATTATTATATAGAGACACGCTTCGAAAGAGACGTCAGAAATGTTTCCTCCCTGTTTGATAGCTTAAATAGAAGCAGTTCACAACAAGATGTGTACCACACAAACGTGGTACAAACTGTTGGTAATGTGCTAAACTCCAATCCATAGCAGCTACCCCTCAGGAGAGGGGGCCCTTTTTAAAACACTTCGGTAAGCTACCTTCTGTTAGGAAACCAATTATCTCAGACTGTAGGATCAAAATCCTGCTCACAAAAACATACCATGGCTCAGTTTACCATGCGCACAACAGAACTCTGTCCTTAAGAGTTTTGTTGTTATTTTTGTTGTTTTCTTAAACCAAACTTCATCATTTTAGAACATTCTGAGGTACGCAGAAAGAAGCTGCTCTATTTTCCTACTTGATTGGGAGGTTGGGGTCCCCAGCACCACTTAGACAGTTTTTCAGCAGCAGCAGGAAAGCCATTTTATTGTGACAATAGTATCAGCTGACAGGGCAGGATAATAAACCTCTGTTCTGACCTGCACTACCCACTTTGGTCTTCGAACAATAAATGAAAGCAAAATTTGCTTAAGAGATCGATCTAAGTAGCAAAGAACGCCATAAAGCATCTGAGAACCTTAAATTACATTTTTAACCACCTTCAATATTTCAGTTTCTCATTAAGGCCACTGTACATGCACACAAAGTATCTGGTCTGGTTCAATCTCATCTCCTAAGCGCTCTCCCACCAGCAGGTCCCAGGACACTCTCCCCCATAACCAGAACTGGGAGCCCAAGAGCTAACGGGCTGCAGCTGCACCACTTGCACCTACTTCAGGACACAACACAAACCCTGAAGCTTCAGTTCTGCAGAGTCACCATCGTCCACTTAAGTCTCCTACACAAGCCCAGACAGCACACAGCTTTTATTTTGTAAAATTCTCACAGCTTGTGAGAATTCTCACACACTTTGTGACCCACACAGATTATTTTTTTGTCAAAGCTGTTTCAGCTGCTGCTCCTGTTCTAAATTACCTTCTCATCATCTAATGGTGAAAACAAAGGAGATGTACTTCTACTGATTTGTGCAGATACCAGTCCATTAACCACACAGGTGTCGAGCATCTTTTCAATGCAGTAGGATTAAAAAAAGTGTATAGGCTAATTTTAATGATAGAAGTGGGTAGGCCAATTTTATTAGTCAAATAAAATTTACAAGTCATACCAGATGCAGGATGAAGAACAGGTTATGCTTTGGAGTGACATGAATACTCTTCACTCTCACGGAAACCATGTGTACATCACAGCACAGCTGTACTGTGATCCTGCAGTCTCTAAAGAGCTTTCTTTTGGAGTTTCTTTTTGCTGATCCAGATTAAAGATAAAAAGAACATCAGTGTTTTAAGAAACCTACTGCACTTTTACTTTATTCAGCTTCAAAAGTAAAAAAAAAATTACTCTCACCTCCCATTTCTGACAGGTAAAACCAACAATCCTTGAGGGCCTTCTGTTCAGGAATGAATGAAGCTATTAATTTCAGACACCTCTATGCCAGAACTAACCTACAGACTAAGGTACAGCAAACTGAAGTTAACCTTATTTCCATCTCTCTAAGACCATCCCAGTGCAACTTCGCAGCCTAAAGCTTTGTTTATGGAGGTCAAAAAGTTACTGTCATTAAATACATAATCAAAGCTTTCACCAAATATCTTCCTTTTACTATTTCTATTACATATCTTCCTTCCATTACTATATCTTCCTTTTACTATTACAGTATTATTACTTCCTTTTACTTTTACAGATAAATGTTCAAAGAAACTCTTTCAGTCATTGTCTCTTTAATGCTACCCAGTACAAATTTGTCTCTCTATATTCCATGCTACAACCCAGCACTTACTGCCCCTTATTAAACCACCACTTACATGAGCCTCTGAAACATCCCCAGCACTGTCAGAGCGGTGTTCTTGCACCCTTGAGACAAGAGGTCAGAGCAGACCAAGTCCCAGCAACTTGAGATGCTCACCACAAAACATTTTGGAGGACACCTTTGTAAGTTACCACAGATCTTTTGAGAAACACACTAGGTAGCATACTCCCTGATATAGGTGCAATTTCTGGGATCCACTTTTTCTTCTGTAAGACATTAGTCCTACAAGAGGACCGCTACATACAATCAAATAGCATGCTTCAGCACAACTCTTAAAATCAAGCTGTAACTTGGCAAAACTGTCAGATTTCACAAATGAAAAATTAAAAAAAATTACTTGTTTCTAGTATCAACCGGTCCTTTCATAGCACACATGAAAAAAAATCACAAAGCTACTGCTGGTGACCAAATCTTTATCTCCTGAGTCAAATGACAAATCACATCAGAGGTGAATTTAAGTGCCTCACTCAGACCAGGTTGTCCCTTGGTAAAATGAAGGCAGCCCATCTACAGGGACCACATCACACCCAGCCTAACAGAACACCTAGAACTCAGTAGTCCACTTTAGCTACGAAAAGGAAAGCCGTGCTTCAGGTGAAGGTTCAAGGATGACAGTCCAACATGGGTTTAGAACACAAAGGTACAGTAAAAAACCTTCAAGCTCAGTGAATGAAATAAAACCAACCTCCTGCAGCTGCCCTGACAAGAGCCGGCACTTCACCAGTTGCGGTGTTTCACAAATACTTCTCCGAGGCGTCATGCACTGTCAACAACACATCGCTGATACTGGTTCACAATAGAGGCTGACAAGTGTTTGAGATAAAAAAAAATTACAATATAAATGCAAATTACTTGGAACCTATTTACAACAGCTAAGCCAAAGAGAACCAGTTTCAGTGCGTAAGAACCACAAGTTATCACACTCCAGAGGAAACTCTGCTCTTGGTTTAAATCCCAATGATACCAAAAGGTTGTCCCGTTCACATAAGCAGGTAAGGAACTGAGTTTACACCAGTTTTGTTTCTAATAACAACACAACCACTCATTTCAACTAAAAATCAGTGTCAGGTTAGCCTGACATTAAAGACTGCCTCTACCTTGAGATTCCATCCAAAATCCTTCAGCCCAGCAGCGCAAATCCCTAGATTTCCCTTTCCACTGGAATCGGAGGGCATTACATACCTATTATCTTGCACACCTGGCACAAACGAAGATCAGCTTTTAAGGTGCAGTCCCATAAAGTATCTAAGTGCTTAAAAACCTCAAGTCAAAATAACTTTGTACTTTTTAACTCCATGCCCGGTATCATACATACTCTGACTCAAGCATATAAGGAATTCAATTCTTTATTTGATATCCATAAACCCATAAACGTTGCTATTCTATATTTCTATGCAGGAAGGCAGTTTTCCCCTAAAACATTATGCTTTTTAATAAACAACAAACTTTAATTCTATTGCGTGAAAAGGGCTACAAATATACAGTTGTTAAATCAAGCAGACTACACAAATATTTTTGCTTTACAACTGGCACCTATGTTACTGGTACACTTAGCTGGCTCATTTGTCATAGCACTTTGCCCAAACAGCTTCGATGATCACTTTCTGAAATATATGGGCAATTGCAATTATTTTAAGAATAACGATAATGTGCTGAGGCAGGTACTTCAAATTTTTTTTTTTCAGTTGATACTCATGGAGCCCATCTTTATTCGCATGCAGATTTCGTTTCAGTCTACACCAGTCATCTAATGGCATAAAATAACTTTCGAGTATCTAGTACAATTGTCAGCAAACCGATTTTACTCCTGCCGTAACGAAGCCTGCAGCAGCGGGTCTGCCATCCTGCCGGTAGATGGTGCTGCAAGAGATTCTCGGGGAACTTTAACGTAGGACAATAGTTGAGAATGAAAAAGTCTGTTAACCCGGTACTATGAAAACAAGAATGCATTTAATAGAAGGGATCAATATCGACCCTTTCCTGTAAGGAATCGTACACAGACAAACCAATAAGAGGACTTGAAACTAAGCAATCGGAAATTCTGAACATTTTATATGAATGAAGCACATGCTTAACACAAACTATTTCTTCAAAACTACACAGTACATACGTTGATGGAGAAGTCCTATAGAAAAAATTGACCAACCATGTCAGCACGTCAAACTGCCTAGTACAAGATGGTGGATGCACACAAACTGCGTGAGAACGAGTAATTAAAAAACAGACCACATCCACGGATTAGTACTTCAAAAATTTCTCTGTCGAGTGTTTGAAAACCAATAAATCCGCTGGGGGTAGCAAAAAAGTCGATCAGGACCTTTACTGGCAATAAAACATTTACTCTGAATACACAGAGACTTTAAAGCAGAGGAACACTTGCTTCAAACCTAGAAAAGCCTTAAACCGTACGGAATGGATCCTAGGAAAAAAAATTAGACATGTAAAGGTCAATGAACACAATGATTTATTTAAAAAATAAAAAACGTAAAAACGATTTTTTTTTCCTCCTTTACAGAAATGTTAATTTCAGTCATGGGATCCGAGTAGGTTTTGTAGAAAAAAATGTAGTAGCCAGGTATCGAGTCCTTACAACAAAGAAAATTCCCCCGTAACCCTCCCCAGGTTTTACTCCAGATCAGCAAGATGCTTCCCACCCCGTACCCCACCCCCCCAAAAAAAAAACCAAAAAACAAATTAAAACAAGACATTTTTCGTTGCTAGTATAAAAACGACCAAGGTCCAAGTAATAATAAAAAAATAGAGTCCATCAATGACTGTAACACAAAGTATGTGTGTGTGGGGCCCAGTCCATCTTCCGAGAGAAAAGAAGTGGCACGGGCAGCAGAGGCGACCCCCAGGGGGCATTTAGGAGCTGCTCCCCCAGCGGGGAGGCATTTAAAAGGAGCTGCCCTTCGGCGGGCAAGGGGAGAAACCATTTCCAAGCTGCCCCGTGCCGGAGGGAGGGCTCTCCACGCCGCACCCCCCGGCGGCTACGGGCACTCCAGCTCAGAAGGAGCCGCCCCCGTAGCCTCCCCCGCCGTAGCCTCCTCTGTACGGTCCACTGTTACTGCGGCCCCCCCAGTTGCCGCCCCCTCCTCCTCCTCCTCCGCCGCTCTTCATGGGCCCGTAGGAGGACTGGTGCTGGCTGTAGCTGCCGAACCCGCCGTACCCGTTGCCGTAGTCGCCTCCTCCGCCGCCTCCTCCTCCTCCGTAGGAGCCGCCGCCGCCGCCGTAGGAGCCGTACCCACCGCCTCCTCCTCCTCCTCCTCCTCCCCCGCCGTAGCCGCCGTAGCTGTTGTAGCCGCCGCCTCCCTTGGCCAGCCCGTTGTGGTCCCGGTTGCCGGCTCCGCCGCCGCCCCGGCCCCGGCCTCCTCCTCCTCCTCGGCCTCCCCGCGAGGGCCTCCCCGCGCCGCCGCCCCCCCCGCCCGCCTGGATGTCCTCCTTGGGCACGGCTTTCTTCACTTCCACGCGGTGGCCCTGGATGGGGTGGAACTTAACCACGGCCGCCTTGTCGGCCGCGTCGTGGTTCTGGAAGTAGACGAAGCCGAAGCCGCGCTTCTTGCCGCTCTGCTTGTCGGCGATGATCTCCGCCTTCTCCACCGGGCCGAACTGGCTGAAGTGCTGCACCAGGTCCCCCTCGGCCACGTCCCCTTTGAGGCCGCCCACGAACAGCTTCTTCACCTTGGCGTGAGCCCCGGGCTTGGCCGAGTCCTCCCGCGACACGGCCCGCTTCAGCTCCACCGCGTTGCCGTCCACGGCGTGAGGGGACGCGGCCATGGCGGCGTCGGCCTCCTCCACCGCCGAGTAGGTGACGAAGCCGAAGCAGCGGGAGCGCTTGGTCTGCGGGTTGAGCACCACCACGCAGTCGGTCAGGGTGCCGTAGGCCGCGAAGTGCTCCCGCAGCCCGGCCTCCGTGGTCTGCACGTTGAGGCCGCCGATGAACAGCTTGCACAGCTGCGAGTTCTCCATGCTGGTAGCGGTGCCGGTGGTGGCTGCTGCTGCTGCCGCCGCCGGGAGCGGGGCCGGGGCCTCGCCGGGGCCTGGCTCCGAGGCTCCTCCTCCCGCCGGGGGGCAGCGCCGCCGCCGCTCTTCTCCCCCCCGCCTCCGTCTTGCCGCCTCTTCCCCCGCGCGGCGCCGCTTCAGGGCTGCGGCGCCCGCCGAGCGCTGCCTCCCCCGCGCCTCGCCTCACCTCACGCGGCCCGGCCGCTCCCGCAGCGCCTGAGGGGGGGAAGAAGGGGAAAGGGGGAGGGGGGGACCGAGGGACGGGGCCGGGCTCGGGCACGCACAAAATGGCGGCGGCTGCTCCTCGGGAGCTCGCCCGGCGACTGGTGCCCACACAAAGGGGACGCCGGGAGCTCCGCCCGCCCGCCCGCCCGCCGCGCCACGCCCCCGCCGCGCCGCCGCGGCCAATCGGAGCGGGGAGATTGGAAGGGGGCGGGATTAAAGTGGGGATTGACGGGACGCGGCGGCGAATGGCGGGGCGCGACCTCCGCCGCGCGGCGGCTGAAGGGGCGGGGCCGGCCGCTGAGGGACGCGGCGGGCGGCCAATGGGGTCGCTCCCTAACGGCCGGCGGCGCCGGGCGCTCTTCGCGCGCCTCGCTCAGGGGGAGGGATGGGGAGGAGGAGGGGGCGGGGCCGGCCTGCGCCGCGCACTGCGGCCGGCAGCCAATGGGCTCCCTCCTGCCCGGCGCGCGCTTTCTCCCCGGCGGCCCCGCCCCCCCGGGCGGGAGCGTTTGAAAGGCGGGGCCGGGGGGGGGGGCGGCTGAGGGGGCGGGGCCGGGGGGGGGGCGGCTGAGGGGGCGGGGCCGGGGCCGCCTCAGGGGAGCTTTGGGGTCTTTAAACGTGAAGGCCGCGATGAGCAGCAGTCAGCTCCGTTAATATTTGCGATATAGTCATCCCATTTGTATTAAATGGCGGTTTTCTGCTATAGCCAAGCCTTTTAAGAGTGACACTGACAGGAATTTTAAATCCCCAAGTCTGACTGCCGCTCACAGGGAAAACATCGTGGGTTTGGGTCCGTTTATCTCAGCGCACGAGCAGACACAATCATTGTGGCTAGTTTAGAAAATAAAATAGGCCCATAGAGTCGCTGAAATATCAGTGGTTTAAAAATAACCATACCCTACTCTGTTAAAAAAAAAAAAAAATTCCTAGAGGCTGTGTAAAAGTTTCACACAATCACAGGAAATACAGAAATATATTTTGCCTGCTCCTTATCGCAGAAACTGTGTAGCCCTTCCCAAGCTAAAATAATGGCTATTTCATGTAGAAAATAACCCATGAGAGATTTACAGACTGTTAATAATTTTCAGAAAAAAAAGAAGAAAAATTGAAAAGAGCTAATTATGGCCACCAAGGAAAATGGAAGGCTTTGTTATGGCTCCCTGTCCTCCCTGAAACAAGAGGCACAGGTAGGCGAGGAAGAGATCAAAGAAGTCCTTGCTTCTGTCAGCAGGAGGAGGAAATGAGGGCTTTCAAGATGTGAACAAATCACTGGGGAAAATCAGTAGCTGACCACATTCAGATACAACCCAAACATTTCCTCTTCATTTGCACTTCTGACTGGCTGAATTATGAAAAGGAACAATCGAGGAAAAACCTTTAAAATATATATACCCACCTCTTGTGGGTATATACAGAAGTGTCTCCTCTGATCCTACAGAAAGCCTTAGTGGGTAGGACCCGTTCCTATGAACCGTGTGTCCGCTCCTTGCTCCTGAATGAGACTTTTTCATCTAGTTGCTGTGAGCTGCTGCAAACGTGCGATACACAGCACCTATGCAGGGGGCACAGAACCAAAAAAAGTCTCACGCTGTGCATGTGAGACATCCCTTGTCTAAACCAGACAACATTCCTGCAGCTGCAGAAGTTTCCCTACCATTGTTTCCTTTTTTTTTTTTTTTTTTTTAACTGTTTTTAACTACATATGATTAAATACCTAATACCAATTTATGTATTTTGAAGTTCTTAGGCAGACACTGCTAAAAACAAATACATGCTCTTCTCCTCACAGGGCAGTTGCAGCATTAAATCGTTTCAATGCTGATAGCAACCTACAGAATAAAAACACATTGTGTAAGCAGTTCATTTCTAACACAGGCTGATGCTCCACCTGGAGCACCACCTAAAGAAAATGCATTTCTCAAGCACAAGTCACCAGTCAAATAAATCAGTGTGTTAAATGTCCTCATGGGATATTTTAGTTAGTATTTGAATATAGAAGGAAGAAAAAAAATATATATTGTTTTCAGGCATAAAACATTCAATTTATTCCAGTAGAAAGCATACTACCGAGATCCACAGGAGGGCATCACTGCTTAAGAGATCTTAAAACAGAAATTTGAAGAGTTCACTTCAGGCATTGAGCTTTCCATGTTATTATTTATTCTCAGTAAGAGCTGATACAAAATACATCATTAAGGAAATCATTATAGCATTTTTTATTACTAAAGAAATATAATTCTGTGATGCTGTTTAATTAGTCCAAATTTATAAGATAGAAAAAGATTACTGAAGGAAAGACCTCCAGGGGCAATACAATGATATTAAGCAACTCTTAAATTCTAAACATTTTGATTATTTAACACCTTGTATAAAAACAGAGTGATTGCCTTTTAATTTGTTTCAAACCCTTTAATCTCATTTTTATCAGTGCTGTTGGCTTCCATAATCAACATGTGTTGTTGATTTGTTTGTTAGAACAATTTAAGTGTATTGATGGATTATTTTTTTTTAATGAATTTAAGTACGCAGATTTTTAGTAATGTAGTGCAATCCTCTAGATGTAGGTTTAGTTTTACCTTTTGGCAGACAGAATGCATATTGAAACCTACAGGATTCCTTCGTGCAGGCTGTTTGCAGAATGAGTTCTCCATTGGCATTACGCTCTTTGAAGACCATATTAACATTATTTTAATACATCCAGGCTATACAGATTTCATCCAGATTTTTTCTAAACATGCATAGGCCAAAATGGTCTATGAATAGAGGGGACTCAACCATAATTTTCCAGATCACTTGGAGATCTACACACATTCAGGCAAGGTTTTTTAATTTAATCATATCAGAGGAATTATAAAAGACTCTTGGAAGTTTCACTCCCACCAAATCAACACCCCAGGCAGAGAGTAATTTTGCAGTTAATAGGAAGAAATTTCTGATAAAACATGCAGCAGCAACAGCAACTTCCCCATCCTGGCCCCTTGCTTAAGCTATGAGCGTGAAGAACTTCTTAAAAGAGATAAAACTTTCCTTGAGAAAGCTATCGTGTTTTGTTTGCTTCTTTAAGGCAAAACATTTATCTTTCATCAGGGTTCTGCTGTTCATTCCTTAATCTGAAAAAACTTTAAATCTGTGGACTTACTTTTGAGACTAGCATGAATTACCACTGGTTGGGACAGGGTTTGCATTGAAAAGAGTGATTAAAATGCACCAAGAGGGAACTAGACACCTTTACCTATCTGAAGTTTGAATAGGACACTCCTTGGGATAAAAATTTCTATACTGTGCAAATTCAGATGGGAAATAAAACACTCTACCCCTCTCCTTTATTTGCTTAATGAAAACTAAGATATTCTACAGATAAAAAGGTATCTGTAGAATACCCCACAGGAACCATTTATTCAGTAAGCACTATCAAAAGTTTACCTTACTGAACAAAATCTTCCCTGAGTGCCTTGTAAGGGGACTGTGCTGAAAGAGAGAATCACATCTCTGTGAAGGGTGAAGGGGAAAGTCATCAGATAATCCAATTTGCATCCTCTTCTTTGGACTTGTATTACCATTTTTCCTTAAATCCTGCCCTCCCTCTCCTCTCCTCTCTGAAGCTCAATTTCTCTTTTCCTCTTTCATCTTTCCACTCGTCTGTCATAATTGATGATTTCCTTTCTTCTCTTCCCTAAAAGTTTATATAAGAGCTGGTCATGATTTGGAGTGATGGGATGAAAGTAAGACAGGAAAAGACAGTCTGAAAAGTCAGAAAATCATGCCAAGGATCAAAGAGTCTGGCAACGCTGAGACAGATGTGAAAGGGCAGATCTTTCACTATATCCTGGGCTAAGATAGACCAGGATCATAGGTTTTGCCTAAGAAAGAACAAATCCTGGAGCCAGCAGCAATATTGTCCATGCTCTGATCTTTTAAACCTGCAAATCTTTGTGTGTTTTATGTAAAATTGAAATCTAGTAGCTTTTTTTTTCCCTTAGCTATTCCTAGCCCCCATCTATTTCCTGATCCTGAGAGTCTCTGTAGTGGACTTTTTGGTCTTTGTTTTGCATGTCTGACATTTAGCTTTGTTTGAAACCACCAGGAGTTATGCTAGGAAGTTCAGTACTTACCTGCCTGAAACCAGCAGTAAGATATCCATGCTACTCAAGGAATTTTAAAGTGAGGTGTACAAAAATTAAGGCTTTCTAGACCCAATATAGCAAACTAGAATTCATATTTTTAATTCGGAAAAAAATATATATGTTATTACAGCTTGAAACATGCAGGAAAAATTAAACGGACTGATGAAGAGGAAAAAAACTTCTTTTGATTACTTAAGTATTTCTTAATTAACAATTAGGCCAGTAAAAAAATTTCATGGCATCAGAAATGCAGGACTTGGTGCTCACAGCACTGTTATAAAAAGATTGTAGAATGGAAAGGAGCAGATACAAATGATCCTATCCCCCTCAAATGTGCGAGCTGTTCAAATAATCCATTCCTTGGAGAGATCATTCTTGGAAAACATCAGCTAGAGAAGTTCTAGAAAGCTACAAAGGATTGAATCAGGGTTTGGAAAGTGGAAACTATTATAAAATAAAATTTAATGCAGTCACACTCCTATTACAATTACTCATATATCTTATCTCTTTTTCAGTAAGAAAATAGAAAAGTGACTTGGCTGACCCAAAAACTAAAGATGCTAACCTTGCAGCCAGAGAAGTGTATCAATCTCCATCTCAATTGTATGCCAACTGAATAAGGTCCAGAAATTAGCTGAAAGTTCGTGGCATGATATCATTGTAAAAATGAATATGCTATTATAAGGAACTCATTTGAAGTTAAAGCAGATTTTAAAACAGTTGACTTTTCATTCTAGGCATGACCTAATTGAGAGGTAAGGACCAGAATGAAGATTCAAGGGTATTGTAAAGCTGCTCTGTAGAACTGTGCAATACAAAGAGTGAAACCTAAACTCCAGGTAGTGAAAGTCAGTGATTTTTTTGACAATTTTTTCCAATTATGAAAAAAAAAAAACCTTATTATGGATCAGTGTTTCAACTGACACGTATATATCAATCCTTCCTTATCCGAGTGATCATTGCAGAAAAAAAGGAAATTTACAGTAGTTGATTTTCAAATGTTGCTGGTTTGGTCAAATCAATCTGTTTGCTGAAGAGATCTTATTGGCAGGCTCCACGAAACAGGAAACCATGAAAGGACTGGGCTTTTTCATAGCACACTATCTTACCTAAAGAACTCTTTCACCTCGGAAGCTGATAAATTGAACGCATCCTTACGTGTGTGAGGTACAAAGACTGCTGCACAGCTGCACGGGAGAAGCAACCAAGCAAAGTAATTGGAAGCAGAAGGCTGGAGTGGTCAGCCACCAGCAAAGTCCCCTGCTGGGCAAGGAATCACGTAAACACCAAAGCAAAAGGCGAGATTTGCCTCAAGGGACTCCTACACTACAGGATTCTTCAACAAGAGGCTGCTGCCACTACTACAGGCATTATTACAATTTTAAGGCTGGAAATACTGTTTCTTATGGCTTCTGATCACTTACCCTGACCTTCCACGCTGCCCACGGTGTGTATGCCATCGCAATAGCATGCCTTCACTGTACCCAAAATGAGACTTTGTATACGTGGACCCCAGTTAGTGATGAGCTGGCTGGCTCAGAGGGCAGTGCCAGGGCCCCATGCTTGTCATGGTTAATTGCCGCCTGGCTTAAAACCACCCTGGGAACATTTACCCAAGCTGAGGTCATGCCTCCGTCTGCAACAGAACAAGTGGCTGGGAAAAAATGTTCCAATCGGAATCACAATTCCAATATTATTATTATATAATTGCAATAAATCTGATGAGGTGATTATCAGTAATGACTCATGTTCAGTATAATGAGACTCTGTACACTGATTATTTTAGAAGGGTTTTTGTTCATTTGTTTGTTTTGCAAACTAATACTGCAAACTGAAATCCCCAATAAAACTCACAAAACATATCCAAACTCCTACCAGTTCCTACAATACAGAGGGATTCTTGAACCGCTGAAAACCCACAAAAGTAGAGTTAATAAATTTACATTTGATTGGGGCTTTACTAAGCCAGACACAGTCTTATCCACAATGTAGTTTTAATATTTTGTTATCAAGTTACATATAAAGGTTGCTTCTCACTAGCTGCAGTCCTGCCTTCCAGTTAGTTATCAATGTCTACAGATAAAGGACATTTTCCATTATTTTTATTATGCAATTTAGAAATAACACAATAATTTACGTAACATAAATAACATTCTGCTATCCATTAACCTTTTATGCAAATAGACACTACAGCATTTGGGTGAAAACAATATACCTGGGTCCCTTCACACGCAGCCCTAGGTTCCAGTTAGCAGACCTACCTTTGACCTCGAGCACAAGCAGAGCAGGAGCAGCTACACCCATAAGCCTCCAACGTCGGATGTGAACTAATTCACAACAGGTTACAATAAAATTAAGTCCACAGAAGGTAGCAGATTGACACGATTGTAAAATAAATGGGATCACACGTTAAACACTTCAATCCTTCCAGGGATGGAGGACTGCACACAGTATTATATTAGAAACAGATGCCTATGTAGATAAGCAATCTGATCTTTGTTTGAAATTTATAAATAGAATCAGAACATCTTTTAATTTGACTGGCTTATTTCATTTATAAACAGATAGTGCACTTTTATGGCTTGTTCTGATGCTCACCCAGCACATTCCGTTTTTAGGTCTTGATGCACTTCCTGAGTTACTCTACAACCAGAAACTCTAGAGTACTTTGGAAAAGCTTTATAATATTTTTTTACATAAGCAAAATCAGCAAGTGCTAGAAATGTGTTTAAAAAGGTACATTCACATTGCCCAGTCACAGCAGTTTGGCTGAGATTTCAGAATTCAGCGACCACTCCTGGAATAAAAGGCAATAGCCCAAAGTAAAGAGAAGGAAATTTTAGGGGGAGGCGTTAAGTTAGTCTAACAGTAAATTTGGCACTTGAACACACAAACTAGGATTACCACTGATGTTTACAAAACAGGTTAGGCAAATATATCCTGAAGAGATACAAATATACTAGAAGCAGGGGATTGATCTGGCTGATTCCAGAGGCTCCCTCCACCCCCATTTCCCACAAATACAACAGCACAACCAACAATGTTTCCAGCTCTTGAGTTCCAGCCTGCACTCCAAGCACAGCACCAGTCCTGCTTACCCCAAATCCTACTGCCCTTCAAAACATTCTCCAAAAAACAGCAGCAGTAAGGCAGACTCCGGTACTCTCACATATTTTGTCTGCAAGTTTCAACTTTTCTAACGAACAGGGAACCATCATCTAGTTTTCCTGAGTCTGTCTCACACAAACTCTGGCCCATTTCCTATTTCCTCTGATTTTTCTAGCTCTGGAGAGCCCCAGGCTAGGTCACTGTAAGAGACTAGGATACTGGGGGCTAAGGGGACCCAGGCAGGAACTGAAAAGTGCAAAATCAATACACCAAATACCACATCCCAACAAAGACCAGCTCATTTCCTGCTCCACATGACACGTTTACTAAGCAAAAGCTGGATGCCAATATTTATGAACAAGTGACTATAGAAAGTACAGACTTTTACTGGGAAAGGAGTAAGAATAATAAATCCCTTTTTCAACACGTCCCAGTGCAATGTGTCAGGCTTTGCTTTTCAGGAAGATTTTTACAACTGGAGTAAAATTTAAAATAGGAATTTAGAGTGAAAAATATGATGAACTTAATTGCAATAAATTAATTGCAATAGAGCAAACGATGCACATAATGGGATGTGCATGCTCTAAGAAGCTTATTGTATTTTCATATCTGTCAGTTAAAAAAGCAATAAGCCATCTGCAAATGTTTATGTATGAAATCCATTGTAGGGAAAACATTTGCACTACAGAGCAGATAAGATAATTGCAAATGAAATTGCAAGATAAGGTGTTTGACAGGGCGGAGGGAAGCAGCACAGTGGAGGAAAAACCATCCCCATGACTACTGGGCTTTTCTCCTCCCTGCTCAGTGCTGTTTGCCTCTTCTTGGATTCCAGAGCTTGTTTTATTCCTCAGCAGCCCTTCTGCAGCCTGGTGGATTCAAGCACAGTTGGAAATTGTGGGACTGTGGCTTGTTTCAGAAAAAGAAGAAAGGAGACTTTAAGTATAGCTTTAGCAGCAGATGGCTCTGCTTTGGATCCTCTTATACACAAAGGAAATGTGTTTGCTGGCTTTGTAATTAACTCGAAAAGAGAAAGAAAATTTTGTTAAAGACAGTGTGGATATGACTTGAATTATTCATCAGGTAAGAAGTAAGAGAATCTATAAACTTGAGAGAAAAGTTACTGAAATATATATTTTAAAGGCTTGTTGTATTCTGTGCATCCTCTATTTAAAATTGAATGGAAAGTTTCATTCAGCTTTTATCTGTGCAATACTTTGGAACTTAATGAGCAAATGATGTTTGCAACCAAAGCATTTACTGCTCACCGTGAAGGGATGGAACTAGGCATTTTTAACATCAGTAAGAAAATACTTAGGAAAAGAAAGCTTTTTTGAAACTTGTTTTATTTTAGACTATGCGTTCAACTTTATTTTGCTTACACATGTTTTAGTAATGTTTCTACATCTTGAGGAATGAAAGAACTGGGCTAAGTGGATTATCATTTCTTAGGTTGTTAAACTCTCACTATTTATGGTAGAGAATCTTTTTTGAAATGCATGGATTAGGGACTGAAGAAAGTAGCAGAGACATTAGTTCCCTTATTAAACATTGCAATCCATTTCTGACATCAGCTGGAGTTGCGGTTCAGGGACACTGATTCCTCTATTATTTGTTTTAAAAAATAGCAGTAGGCATTACAGCAGTTTAACATGCTGCAGCGAGTAGCAGTGTAACTTATTTTCTAATGCTGTTAATACTCCAGATGTTTAAACAAGACAGATATAATTGTTTTATTGTTAAAGGAAATGTTTAAATTGCCTTTCAGTATGACATGAACTAAAGCATCCACCTCTTAACTCAGAGAACAAAGCAAATAGAGAAAAGAAATTAATTGTTTTCTTGAAAAAAGCCTGGCAATGTGGGTGATCAGTGTGCCTAAAGCTAAAAAAACTGAGTGAACTGACCAGCAGGTCAGTGCGGGGACTTTTCCTTACTGGTAGGCAGTGCCAAAGAAGCCCCACTGTCCACAACGAATTCTTGGGAGAGGGCATGCAGCACTCGCCATCAAACTGTGGTTTGATGGAAAACTAAGTGAGCAGAGCAAATAGTGCATGAAATATTACAAACCTGGCTCAGCCTCATGTCCTCTGAGTCCCCACAGCTTCTCTGGCTAGCACAAAAAGCAAGAAAGAGAAGAGCGAAGCTTTCTTTGAGGGTATCTTGTGTCTGAGGCAGATCCCCTGCTAACACCTGATTTTTCCTTAAAGGGCAGGTCGCAGGTCCCAGGGAGCCAGGTGAAAACCCCATGCAGTGCAAAGAGAAAGCTCTCTACTGGGACAAAGCAGCCAGACTTGGGACCTGTACACCTCTGGAAGAGGCAGCAAAGCTCATGGGGGCAGCATTTACCACCGGCTGGCCCCTTGCCCTTCCAGCACGTGCATCCTTCCATGTGATAAATCCAGCCAGGCAATTAGCGCTCCTCTAGGGAAAAGCAGCTAACAGCACATTGCAGGAAATGTGCTGCCTGGAGCTGCTGTCGCCCAGACACATCGTCTGGGTCTGCAGGGTACAACCACACTAGCTTCAGAAACCCTGCAACTTTGCCTGGATTCAATAAGAGGAGTTTTTGCAAGCTGGTGCACTGTGCAGGGCGCACAGCTCGTGTTCCTCACCTACCGGACTCAGGACACCTGTATGAGGTCAATTTGAGCCACAGGACTTCAATAGTTCCTGCAGCAAAGTTGACAAAGTTTCTATGCCATTCCCTCATTGTAGCTGTAACAGGGCCACATGGGTTATTTAGGAAGACTTCAGAGCTTAATAATATCCCCTTACTACAAATTAAGTTGTATTTGGAACATCAACCACATATGGTCACATAAATCTAATGCCATTTCTCAGTCCAACATGACTACACTAAAATATACTATAAAAGTACATTTTAATCAGAATGACAGTGGTAATAGACCCTGCAAAGCTTTGGTGGTGGTGCTTGTTTTTAATCCTAATTTGAAGAACCCAAAGTAACATCAAGTAGAAGTATGAGAATAAAGCAGTACAAGATCTAACTTTATGTGGATTATTCTTTGGGTGGCTGTGGGACACCAACCAGTTGTAAAATCTTAGTTCCCAGTTTAGCCTTGGATTTGCATTTAATCTTGAACAAGGCACTAAATAGCTCTTATTCGCTAGTGATTAAATAATGGCACTCATTTGTGTAAAAAGGCTGATGAATCTTCTACATACAAACATTATTTCTAGTAATAACAAAACATCCACCCATCCCTCCCCCTTTGTCTGCATCCTCTAACGTTCCTCTGCTCCTTCACCCCGTTGTCTCCACAGGGCTCACAACGCTGGTATTTAAGAGTAGGGGTGAAGAATGACCCCCTTCCTGCCAGCTCTCCAATAACTCCTACTTCAAAAAGGAATTACGGTGAGTTACAGTTGAGATTTGAAAGGTACGTGTATAGAAGAATTTACCCATCTTTAATTTTTAAAAGTAACTCTTTTTCCTTTTTTCCTTTCCCAGGTTGGAAAGGCAGACTCTCTCTAGCCAGAAAGCTGGTGAGCCTTTGATTTCAGATAAACTTTTTAATTGAATGATAATTTCAATCCCATCAAGATTTTCTGCTGAAAATACTTCTTCCCATTGCTATTAGTTTTATAACAACAGAATTGTGTTGTATCAGATTTTTGCTTGACATCTGCTAATTCTAGAACTGAAAGAAGAATCAGCTCCATGTCTCTAGAGGACACGTTGCATTTAACCATAGAAAACGTTGAGGTAATCATTTGTCAAACTTGTCCAACAATGAACAGTGTGTAGAGAAATGAAAAAGACAATCTTTAGCAACTACAGATATGGAAATAATTGGGCGTGTAACTAACATGTGATCTTTGTTTGGTTTACATTTTTCTCAGATGAGGTTGACTAAAAAGGATAGGCTACCTTGAACACATAAGCAAAACAAGAAACTCCCTTAAAGATGTCATTTGTAGAGGTGTGGAATATCACTTAAGCTCAAGCACACATCATTCTGGATTAAACCAGAGGGATTTGGTGTATTAGTTCACACTGCTTTGTAGTTTTAGAGCAAACGTGTGATGCCTAAGTTAGCAATGTGATGGCAAGTCCCAATTCTTCATTTTTTCTGATAACAAAAAAAGCATCTGACTGTTCTCACTGGAATTGCTTAAGCCTTGCTAAATCTTTGTCTGAGACGGACCTTAAAATATTTTACTTTGAAAGCAAAATTTATCCAGTTAGTAAAAGAGGATTTGTATGAAAACATTCATGCGAGTTTAAACAGAGCTATCAATCACTGCTATTTCTCATACACCACAGTCCATTATAGCTCTGTAACGGTCAGTGCAGATCCTCAGGAAAGGAGCATCAACCTCCATCCATATTTCTATCTATACAAAGCCACTAATACCAGACCACTTGCCTTTTTTTTTTTTTCTTCCCTCCAGAATTCTTCAGTGCTGTAAGTATTTGTAGCAGATTTGCTCAAAACTTCAAGGAGACCAAACACAAAGATAGAATCATGGTAATCCCTGCCTTGGAAAGCTCCAAGCAAAACACCTTCTGAGCTTTAAGGGAAGGGACATGCTCATAGATGCAAAATCTTCATGGCTAAGTTTTGGCATAGGCTGGGAGATGCTTCATGATGGATAAAGCCATTCAGCATCCTAGTGAGATTTTATCTAATAGAACTATCTCAAACAGCAGCTATTCCCAGTTTTTTAACTTTGATACATGCCAACCTTCCTTCCCTGTGGTACTCCTGCTTATTACAGCGTACACAGTGGTTACAACAGTGGGGCTTTTTGGAAATCTTTGCCTGATTGTTATAATAAAGAGACAGAAAGAAGTTCAAAATGTTACAAACATTTTGATTGCCAACCTCTCTTTATCAGATGTCTTGATCTGCATCATGTGTATTCCCGTCACAGTTGCCTATACTTTAATGGACTACTGGATATTTGGGGAAGCTATGTGTAAAATAAGCTCCTTCATACAAAGCATATCTGTCACAGTCTCCATTTTCTCACTTGTCCTGATTGCTGTCGAGAGATATCAGTTAATTGTAAATCCACGTGGCTGGAAGCCTAATATTTCACATGCCTACTGGGGAATTATTCTCATCTGGGTTCTTTCCCTTGTAATATCCATTCCTTTTTTAATATTTCACCACTTAACTGATGAACCCTTCAAGCATCTATCTTTCCATAGTGACTTCTATAAGAACAAAGCTGTGTGCATCGAAGCCTGGCCCTCTGTTACCGAACGACTGATTTTCACCACTAGTCTGCTGGTTTTCCAGTACTGCTTGCCCCTGGGGTTTATTTTTATCTGCTATCTCAAGATATTTGTATGCCTCCGGAGGAGACACAGTAAAATAGATAGGATGAGAGAGAATGAGAGCAGACTGAGTGAAAACAAAAGGATTAATATGATCTTGATATCAATTGTTGTGACCTTTGCAGCGTGCTGGTTGCCTCTCAATATATTCAATGTTGTTTTTGACTGGAACTATGAGGCGCTGATGAGCTGCAACCATAATCTAGCATTTACACTGTGCCACCTTGTGGCCATGATCTCAACGTGTATCAATCCCATCTTTTATGGATTTCTCAACAAGAATTTTCAGAAGGATTTGATTGTATTAGTTCACCGCTGCAGATGCTCAGCATCACAAGAGGAATATGAAAACATTGCCCTTTCAAATCTGCACACTGATGTGTCTAAGGGATCTCTGAAATTAAACACTCCCCCTGTGGATATCTAAAACAATCCAGCAGCGGTTTCCAAAAGTTTGTGGTTTTTTGCAGGTGACCTTTTTCTATAGGTCTTGATCCTGTTACCACTGAAGTTAAAGGTGGTTTTTACCATTTAGTTCAGCAAAACTGGGATTATGCTCCCAAAGGCAGACTGTTAACAGGTACTTTGTGATGGCATTAATGCTAAAAAAAGGAAAAAAGAAAAAAAAGAAAAAAAAAAAAAAAAGAAAAAAAAGCCTGCACTTCCATGAGTCTTAAAGATCAATAATAAGGAATTATTAACAGTATTAACATCTTACTTTTTAATCCACACTTTCCAGGTCACTGACATACTACTCTAGACCCACTGATGATGATCCCTAAGCCTCCACCAATATCTTCCTTTCAACACGACCATACAGTTTACTTGGGTTTGATACCAGTTCAGCATAGAAATCGAACTTTAACATGAGGAAAAGGCTAGAGTTGGATTCTTTTTTTAAATGAGCACTAATACAGGCCTCATTTGATGTTCAGCAAATTCACCTCAGATAGCTGTTCAAGATGAGATACGTACTTAGCATTTCTCTTAAAAGCATTGTATTCTCCTCCAAACCACCAGAAGAGCTCATTGCTTTCTCTGCTATCATCATCATCAGCCTTTAAAACAGACCTTTTAGAATCTCCATTATGAAACAGACATGCTATGAATTCAGAGCAACTCATTTGTTTCTGCTACTTCTCCAGCTTATGGGTTTTTCTTTGAACAGAAAATTAGTTTTGTGCTTTAATTTCAGAAGTATCTTTTCCCACATCTCTTCACTAGCAAGAGGTCACACTTGAGGCAAATGCAGTTGTTTCTGTTTGGCCATGTTTGAAAACAGCTTCTCCTGTAATGGAGTACATGGAAGCCCAAATATGTAGTATTGAATACAGCTGCTCTCCTACTAAAACATATTAAAATTCATTTTCCAGTTTGGTTATAAAAGTTAATCAAGCGTCTTAGTCCACTTTCTTTCTCTTGTCCGTGTAATTGTATGTAAAATTCCTTGCAATTTATTCCTTAACTTGAAAAAATTTCTTAAGCAAAAAGAATTAAAGTTCAGATTAAAATCAGCTCCTTGATGTTTCAGCTACGACAAAACTCACCTTAAGGATACAGAATTCCTTTGGCCAGGGACCAGCCTTTTCTGTATTCATGGAGTTCTTAAAAGATTCAGTCAGGTCACAGTTCTCTTCTTCTGTTTCTACAACATTAGTGCAATCTGTCAGCATCACAGTACTCATCAGAGGAGCTGTGAGAAGAGCCTCACAAGCTCTTACAAAAATGCTGGATTGTCAAGTGCTTCCTGATTCCTGCTGAGCAAGAAGACCTCATTGAAACCTATAAGGGCCTGATCCCACTAAAGTCCTGAGCCAGTGGTACTCACAAGAGTAAGAATGGAAGAATTAGTGACATGGTAATCAAGTATTTGAGTGACAGGTATGAATTAGTTTTGGCATAAAATAGCTTTTTTTTTTTTTTTATCAGATTAAATATAATGCCTGTGAAGTAGAGTGCATTAATACATGGCTTAAACACCTGCCTTCTGCATTACAGAAAGAAAACCAGGAGACAGCTACAGACCTAGTAACAATTGATGATCTGCCTGTTGAGTGTATCTTAGCATTAATTATTTCCATTAACTCCAGCCCTCAGTCAGTTCAATCACTGGCTCCCCTTACTGCTGATGCCCACCGTCTGCTTGCCCAGCACAAGAGGCATCCAAGCAAGCAGCAGGCAGTGCCTGGCAGCCAGCAGCGCTGCTGACACACCGTGCACAAACAGCGCCTGCTGCGTGCTCCTGGTGACGGGGACACGATGGAGTTTGTTCCCTGCTGTACAGGGTGGGACTCCAGGGTACGGTAATTACCTCCGTTCCACTTGCTTAACTGAGAGCAAAAGCTGCTAGAAGCTGGGTTACCAGCCAGCTCGCTCTGAATTTGGGACACCAGTCTCTATCTACCACAGTCTTTCGCATACTTGAGCACTGTTTACAGCTTCAGGACCCGTGATTAAAACAATTCACAAGCACATGATGCTCACAATATACTCCAATTCATCAGTATTTGACACGAAAGTTAAGATCACTCTGCTCTCCTTGCTGCAAACAGCTCAGACAGGATTTAGTGTTTGAGGCCCAGCTGAGATTCCTGTGCATGAACTTGGCCTAAGCGGCTCCCATACCACTGCTGCCATCCCACTGACATGCCCAAGTCTGCTTAGATTTACAGTAAAGGTGTTTCTAGTTTCAGGCCCAAAAATGGTTTAAATGCAGCCACAGAATAAATGCTACTCTAAATTATGCAGTCAGAAGGCCGGCAGAAACTCTTGTGACCTCAGGAAGGCCAGGAGTGCTGCTGGGTGGCCTCCCCTCACTGTCTCTGTAAGCACTTAGGCAGTACATTTCTGTGACATTAAATGGTTAATGGAAAAAAAGGTTACTCTCGCTTTTTGTGACACCAATTGTCTACTCCTGACATCCTGATCGGAGTTAAGCAATCAATTTTTCCAGTCTGATTCTCGGCATAAGAGGGTTCTTCGTTACCAGGTGGAAGCTCTCTGAGCAGTGAGCCTGCTTCACGATCCAACGCGAATAATAACACTTGTGCCTTGATTTCTTGTCATTTCTTCCTTACACTGTCATTTGACTGAAGTGCTGATACTCCATGGCTGTTCTGAGCTTTCAGTTATCAAGTATCTCTTCTCTTAATGCTCTACTTTTAAAATTCATGGCTAAATGAACAGAGTACCAGCACTGCGTCAGGACGTCACCCTCCACGCTGTACGTTCTCTTATTAAAGCCACTCACTTTATACGCAGTCTGATTTCTAATTTCCAGACAAATCAATAGGAGTGAATTGACTTTAATAGGCATAGGATCAGACAAAAAGAGTTGCTTATTTGTAATACATTAGCATTATGGACTCCAGTGTGAGTGACACATTCACTGTGCAATATGAAATACTTAAAATGGCTCAAGTCACAATATTAAAATGGCAAATGTTGCCCTGTGTCAGGGAATGCTGAAAAAAAATATTTTTCCATATGTTATTGGCATAGCAAGTCGATACTGTTTTAACAACCTTGCTCACCAGAATGTTGTTACTTGAGGTAACCTAGGGGAGCTCTGAGAGCTTCCTTAGAGGAGCAGAAACATGGAAATGAATATGGGAAGCTAGACAGGGGTACCTGAACTCTCAAATGCTCTCACAATGTACAAATAAATTCTTAGCAGTGATGCTGTTTAAAAAAAAAAAAACTTGCATCAGAGCTTTGTTCAAGTGGTTCGGTCAGGTAGACCATAAACATATATTTATAAACATCCTTGTAAATTAATATATCCTTATGTGTATTTGTACTTTATGGTTGATTGGTTTAACTGTAAGCACACGTAACTAGAGTTAGATACTGACATTTATTGTGAAAATGATTCTGTAGAACAGAGAGCTCAGTTGATTATTGATTGTAATTATGTATGTGTATGAATGCAGTGCCAATGATGTGTTATTTAAATACATTGATTCCTCCTGTCTACTGACAAATAAATATTACGCTGTATAAAACTGCTGCATTGCCCAGCTGGTAAATATTATTGCTTATAATATTACTAGAACAGTTCTTATGCAAACAGTTCTGGAAACTGCTTTAGCATTTCATATGTTCACTTATTATATAAACAGAGATCAGTAAAAAATGAGGTACTTGCTGTTTCCAGTGGAGAGAAGAACTTAAAAGCACTTTAAATTCTTAGTGCTCTAAACGCTTAGCTAAAAATGATGCAAACACGTAAACAGCATTCTCAGGGCTCATGGTGCTGACAGCCCTGTTGGTGAAGAAGGACACAGTCATAAACCAGGGAGGTTTCAAAGGAATTCATGCCTCAAGGGCAGAACAACTTACCTTACGATTGGTACCTTACAATTTGTACTGAAATATGACCAATGCATTTGGAATAGTGTTTTCCTAGACATTTCACAGATACATTAAATAATGTTTGCAATTTATCAGAGCAGAAGTTTCTCTCCAGCAGATCAGGAAGTTATATCTACAGAACAAATACTGAGAGAACTTTTCTGAGTGCTGTATTGCAGCCCGATTAGTACATATTTGTTTTAGAACTGGCCTCTATCACTGTGTTTTAATGCATTGATCTCTGCACACAGGAAAAAAAAATCTTTTGCTTTTTCTTGTTTAAGCCAAAATCTTCACACCACAGTTCCCTGCATTATCACTATTTATTTCCACTTATGATAGAAACACACAGGGTGCAACAACAACACATATTACTGGGACAGATTCTTGACAAATTCTCGAAAATTATATATCTTTTTATTTTATCCAACCCTGGTCCACTACAAGTAACAAATGGTACTCAGGTTCTATTTCTTGCATTGTATTTTTTTTTAAAGTTACATCACAACTGCATCAGTTAGAAGGCAGGAATATTTTATCCTGATGTAAACAAACATTGCACTAAACTGTAACGCAACAGGTGAAGTTCTGAATAGCACCCAAGCTGACTTTCATAGAGAGAACCTTTTCATCTTGCAAATGTCTGCATCTTACCCAGATTCTAGGTAGAAATTGAAATTATGGCAAGGTTCATAAGGGACACAAGTTACCACCACCCCTTAAAAAGTTCCACACACAGTATTATGTGCTCGGTTCTACACTACCTGCTCAGAAGATGACAGCCTCAGACTAGCAAGAGCACGTGTTGTCCAGCTCCCAAGAAGGGTATCAAAGGGCTTCAGAGGGATGACACAGAAGTTTTGCCCCAGCATTTGCGATCCTGGAAATTAAATATATATCCTTAACTACACTGTTGTAAATGCATCAAAAAAAAACAAATTTGAAAACCTTTACATTCACATAGGCACAACAAAGCCAAACTAACATCAGAGCAAGGAAGAGATGGCATAACTGAGACAGGACACGCTGTTAGTGGGTGTGTGGAAAAGATCGGGCAATCCTGCCAGAGGAGCTCTGATAGAGAAAGAAGGACAAGCAAAAATAGTTGCATTTGTCAGCAGAGCTCAGTATGACTTCCCTTTTGTGTGAAATATTTATTGGACTTGGTACCAAAATGTTTCACAGAATACAGAAAATAACTGGATCAGAGAGACACTAACCCAGGCTCAGCACATCCCACAAAGGGGAAGGACAAGCTCAGGCATGAACCTGCTGCTGAGGAAATATTTTAAAACGTTATTTTGAATAATATTCTCACAGTAGAGCTAATATATAACAGCTCTGAGTAACCTCACAACAAAAGGTCAGATGGACTGCAGATGTACTCAGAGGAACCTCATAGATTCCACAGATGTCAAATGACACTGTCCTTTCAATTCTATGCTAATAATGCACTTAGAAATGCTCCATAATGACAACCTTAGAATTATCTTGTCTACTGTTGCTCAGTTTTACACAAGGTTCCTTTGGCATATAGCTTGGTTTTCATGCAAATGCACTGACTGATGTCTTTTATTGCATTTTATAGGCTTCTCTATTAGTCACAGGCTATTTACATAATGTGATGGAAGTGGCACCTGTGTGGAGCTATTCCCTATGCAGAATTCATTTCACCCTCATACCTACTGAGGAAAACTTGCTGCTTCATGTAGATGCTCAGGCTATAGCAGCTACTGGGAATTTCAATTAGTTCTCCCAACCAAGAACGGCTGCTGCAGCCCAAAGAAGTTTTCAAAGTTTGGGGTCCTACTATATAGAATTCCTTACACAAGACTGACAGCTCCAGTTTCAGACTGGAAATGCCTGCAGGGTTTATCTCCACAAAGGAAGGAGGTGCTGGAGGGGTCTTGGAGGGGCACAGATTTCCGAGGCACACAGCACACTCCTGCCTGCTGCACCACCTCCACTGCCACAGACGCCCAGGCCGCAGCTCCTCAGGTTGCCCCAGCGCATTTGGATCACTCCCTCTCATCACCAAAACAGGCTGGCAGATCTATCCATTAACACACAACAAATAACTACTTGGGGGCTAAAATCATTTGGGTGGTTTAGGTGTAACAGCTGATCCCATGCTTTAAATTCGGCCTGGAAGCCATCTCAAGACTTACCATCACTACCACTAGTAAAAACCACGCCATGACTGTGTGTTTGACCGTGTTGCTATATTTTCTCAAGTGGCTGGACAATGGAGGCCACTTAATCCATGTGAAATTGTTGTGTTGGAGGGGGATTGCTTTTATAAACACAACTGCTGCTTTCTTACTCATGAGAAGTGAATCCATGCAAAAATAAAATTCAAGAATTTTGGTGTGGATCAAAACAAGAAAGGAGATCCCAGAACAGCCCTCCTACTCTTCTGTCTCTGCAGAGTCAACTGTAACAGTCTGCCCCATTCTTCTAAAATCCTCCTTAAAATGATTTGGCTGCCATCCCCTCCCCTTTCAAGCAACTCTGCAGGAACCAACTACCTTGCAGGCCTTACCTCTTCCTGCTGCCTCTCAGATGGATTCCACTATAACAGGAGCCCTCTTTGGCTGCAGAAACAAATGGATGAACTGCCTGGATTTTGGAAAGGGTCCTATGAGCACAACGGAGTAGAACAGAGCTGAACCAAATATATACAGGAGCTCAGACCCAGAAATAGTCTGCAAGAAAACAGGGATACAGGTTACAAACCTCAGAGTAACAGCAAGAAAATAAACAAACATTTAATACAATACACTGTGGCAACTATCTGGGCTTTCGGAGCAAAAATTCTGTTTGGGCATCATTACCTTCATAGGACATTTCTATAAAGATAAAAAAGCAAGGGATTATTTCACATCTAACTCACACGAGGGGAAAATCCACATGTACAACACTCAAACTGTGCCTGGAGAAGTATGGAATAAGGGTTCTCCTTGCAGGAGCTCAAGGCCACCAGGAGTCTGAGATGTCAGCAGGGGACCCCAGGCCTCCTCATGCACAACTTGGGTCTCCCAGCAAAGAGCCCGAGGCCGTGGGCTCCCCAGAGAATACCCCTGAGCACAGGCTTTGCAGCAGGACACGTACTTGACGTTTGCACTGGGGGGCTCTAAGTTTATTTTCTTTTGAGGAATTTCAATGTGAAGATCAGAGGAACCTCACCACACCCACGGGACAAACCTTTGGGAGGATAATTAGTCCAACAGCCCCTTTGAAGGTACCCAGTCCTGATACCCCACTGTGTGCAGAGAAGAGCTCCTATGAGTCAACCTGGCAAGGCTGTCAGCAGGCCTGATATCCCATCCAGTACACATTTACATTTCTGCATTTCAGATGGCTTGAAGTGCCTTATTACTTCCAGCTTATTATTCAGAGATCTTTCTGACAGTGTGAGCAGGTCAAGTTGTCACTCCCACCCAATGTGCTGTGCTGTTTGGGAATCAGGCTTACTTACCTCCTCCCTGGGACTCGCAGAGCTCATTTAAACCAACACCAAAGATCTCAAAATCACAGCCTAGGCTTTCTCCCGAAATTGGCTCCCATTAGGATGAGTCCTGCGGGCGCCGTCTGTCTCCAGCTCTTTGTTTCAGGGAAGTGCCGGGTCGCGGGGCTCGCTCTGGAGCAGAGAAGTGCTTTCACCAGCCGGGCAGGGAGGAATCGTGGAATATGTCACACTCCAGCAGCTCTGAATGCCGAAATCTGGGTTAGTGACCGTAAACATTATTCTAAGACAGCATTCTCCAGAGGCATCCATAACCTTTGAGCAGTTCAGAAGCTCCTGCCAACCACCCTTGTCAGGCAGAAATCCCCCACAATGAAGCACACCAAGTTATAACCATATTTTCAAGGACTCTCTATTAGGTAAAACCATCTGAAATTTGGCCTGTGTTTAGGTGTGCACACAAAACTATGGGCATATTACATCTGATTATCTGCCTGTGGAAATATCTGATGTCCTGTGCTGAGTAGGAATGCAATGCTACCGGCTTCTAATTAAAGACTAAGCCGGACCCCTAAAAAGTTGGCCACAGAATTAGTATTGAACCCAAAAGCAAAATCTGAGTTGACTGAAAGGTCATCATACACAGGGAGATAATTACTGCTTGATGTTCCAGGAAACCCAGGCTCTGACACTAAATTAAAAAAAAAAAAGAAGCAGCACTGGAAGCCTTTGATGAACGATAACAAAAAGATTCTTTCTTTCCCATCCCCACCATGCAAACAGATGAAGCGTGGAGATACTGAGGGCTTTATACAAGAAAACACCAAGAATCACATAAGCCTGAGCATTCTGTTAAACTTCAAGTCTTTTTTTCATTGGCATACAGAACAAATCAAGTATTTCAAAGCAAAAAGTCTTTTTTTTTTTTTGTTAGCATCATTTACTTTGCTGAATAATCCATTTATAGAGTTGGTTAGCTTTTTCTCATGCAGATTTGGGTCCTTGCCCTCATTCCAAAATGATGATTTACAATGTGCTAAGATCCTAGGGGTGCTCAAGTTTTGGGAAAAGGCTTAGTAGGGTAGAGTGTTAAAAAATAATTTAAAAAAATCAGTATGTTTCTGCATGGAGGGAATCTGCAGCAGCTGTACAAAAAGCATTTGAAAGTAGCAACAAGATTATGAACAACGAAAAATTATGAACCATCAAATTAATATAATCAAGAGTCACAGTACCTCTATTGCTAAGAAATAATAGCTACTTGTGTTCTTGGAAAAGATGAAAAAAAATCAACTGCTAGTTTAAGAAGGTTTTCAAAACATGCAGGATCACAAAATCACTGAGGATGGGAAGGGACCTCTTGAGATTATCCAGTCTAACTCCCCAAGCTCAGTAAGAGTATGATTATTCTTTTTCTGAAGCATAATTATAAGTTTATCTAATTAAAACTCAACAGGAAAAAAGGCTAAAGAGCTGCAATTCCCTTCCATAACATCCAAAGGAAAATAAACGTTCTCCATCTGTTTAGCTAATTTTATCACATTTTTGATCTGCCCTTAGTTAGTGGGGAGTCTGGGAAAAATATCAACTACAACTGCTAAGCTATGGGAGAAAATTCCTGCACCTGGATTCTGCAATTGGTGCCAAAACCCAAGTTTTAGAAGCCACCTGGATCAACCTGGCTAAAATGCCAAAAGCATAAGAACGGAGAGCAGCCTGGTAGCAGGGCTGGAACAAGCCAAACTCAACAGCGACATGGAAGAAGATCAAAAACCTCAAGCATCCTTGCCCAGGCTTTAGCCGGCACTTCAAGAAGTGAAAGACTCATTTCATTGCCTAGAGTATGGGTTTTGCTTTCTTTCCAGCTGGAGAAGTAACATCAGATTCAAAGCACATACAAATCCAGGCACATGGGGTTGCATGAAGAGCAGGAGAGAAAGCAGCGCAGGTAAAAGTCCTTGGAATAGGGTAAGGAAGAACACAGTGAGTGAACCTGCCTATTATTATTATTATTATTACTATTACTATTATTATTATTATTGGCTGGGATAATCTGAAGGGTGCACGGCACGACACTTGTTGGACTACCAGCAAAAGAGATCCACGGTGTGGTCAGCAGACATCTTGGCAGGATCAAAGCCTTATTTTTATATCTGTCCATCCCAATTGCAGCGTTTGAAGCTAGAAATAGTGCAGGCATAGCAGGAGCACCATATGGAAAGCACACTCCTCTCAAAGGCCGGGCGAGGGAACAGGGGTCAGGCGGTGAGCTCTGTGCAGACAATCTCATTTCAACGCTGAGCACTCGCTCGGGCGCTGCACCGAGGCCTCGGCTTTTAGAGCAAACACGATGCTAATCTGATTGTGCTAAAGGTGGCACACAGCAATACCTGCCTCAGGGAGCAGCTCGATTGCTTTAAAGGTAAAACAAATAAAGTCAGCATAAAAGGTTGACACGCATTCCGTAAGATCAGATTTGACAGCCATCCTCCAGACGTATTTAATACAAAACATAGATGCCAGTAAATCGCAGAACCTCTGGATTCTCATTGTATCTAAGGAAGGTCTTCTGGTCTTTTTTCCTATATCTCTACCATGTAACTTCGCCCAGGTAGCCAGAATGTGCTCCTCAGAGGGGTTTTTGTTTTTCTCAGAAAATTCTGCAACATGAACCAGGGTGGAGAACATGCAGGTGAGACTAGTGCAAAAAGGCAGCTGGAGAGGGGCAGGAGAAGAGCAGGGCTGCAGAGAGGCAGGAGCATCCTCGCAGCAGTGCCGGGCAGAGGGTGTGCAGCATGGTGTGAAGGCTGGCTAGGTCCTGGAGGCAGCAGCAGCCTGCATTGCCCAGCCAGCAGCACAGGCGTGACAGCACCCGAGCAAACAGCCGCCATAAGGACAGCGGGAGAGGTTCCCCTACACCTCCCATCCGGGCGAGCAGGCTGACCTTGGGCACGGAAATGTCAAGGACTCATCAGAGCCTTTTCCTGGTAATTCGTCTGGACACCATCACTCCTGCAGGCTGCGCCCCAGGACAGGCAGTACCTGCTTATCAGCAACCGGAGCTGACGTGCCTGGGTTGTTTCTGAACCATGGATGGCTTTTTTGTTATAAAAACACCCTTTTAATGTTCAGCATTTAGGTTAATATACTGCCTAGTTTTAACATCTCAGCAGCCATCCTTCTGCAAAAACAAACACTTTACAGTCCCAGAATAAAAGCCTTAAAAGGCCAAGTATGCACAGGTGGGATGACAGATGCAGAGGTTATTTCCTTCGTAGAGCAACAAACCACCTTAGACCCCCTCATCCACAGAGAAGACAGAAATCTGCCCTAAGTAGCACTCACCACAGCACTGAGTACACCATAACTGAACCACTTGGCTTGCAAGATCAAAGGTAGGAAACAGGTCATTATCTGGGACTGTTAGGGATAGAGAAAGGTTTTACCCAGGCTAAGTTCCTGAAATACTCATAGGAAATGGATCGCTTCTGTTTTAAAGCTCATCACCCATTTCTAGCTCCACCAGGGCAGACAGCCTTCCAGAGCTCCTCTTGCTCTGCCTGGATTCTCAGTTTCCCTCTGCCTCCTCCTCTCCACCACTCCCTTGCTGGGAAAGAGCAAAGATGAAGCTTCTCACAATATTTGGCAAGAACACCTACATGATGCAACTGCCCAGAACCAGGACTTAACAACCCATAATTCACGTTTACCAATCAGGACAATGCAAATTAAGATTTGGGGGAAGGAGGGAGGGCAGCATTTAGGGACTTTCAGCAGCTGGAGTCTCTAGGTCAAACAAGTTGTTTCCATTCACTTAGGTCAGTTTTAATTTAAAAAATAAAAATAAAAAATAACAGCTACAAAGCAATGGAAATCAAAGGCCAGACTTTGGCACCATTAAGAAACCCAAGGGATTTTACCACCCTAATCCCCAAATCTTGGGCTACCAAATACCCAAAGTTTCACCAGACTCATCCTTTGCCTTCCCAGGACTTTTGTCTGGGTAGAATTGGAGATTTTGTCCATCTGTCTGCACTTACCAGTGGTGATGCTCAGATCTCTTTTGGGAAGGGTCAGGCTGACCACGTGTGCTGTAAACCAACTGTACCTGCACAACAAATCCAACTCTGGAGCCAATCAGTTTTACAGCTCAAGCACAGGCCATCTCCTTTCCACAGCACACCTGAGACAAGAGAAAAATTGGTGTCAGCTTTGAGATACGACAACAACCAAGTGCTACACTTAGTAAAGAGTGACTTGAAACCAGAATAAAAAAGGTGCTGCGTTCCCACTCCCAGTCTCCGATTTAGGTAGTTCAGCTGGAGTTTACAGTCTGGACAGGTTAAACAACTTGGGCAGAAGACACTCAAGCTTTCAGGTGTACATTATGAAGAACTTCAGATTGTGATAGCCTGTGCGTCTGGCATGCTGAGGACTCCAGAAGTTCTAATGTGTCAAGCATACAGGAGTGAGTCCCAGGAGCAGCAATACCCCCAGTTGATGCACTGATCACAGCAGGGACATAACCAACCTCAGGGAGTTAAATAGGTGCCGGGCCTGGATTCGCATCACTCTCTTGGAGCCAAATTCAAGTCTGCTTTTCCTCGTCTGCTGTTTACTCCATGTAAGTGCCAAATGACATTAACATGAAGGCTCCCTGAAATTCCATCTCAGTAACATTTAAAAACACGCTATTGATTTGTGTCTGTCTTGTGTCGAGACTTGTCAGCAGGCTGCTGTGAAGGACATGCGAGGAGAGCAGGGCACTCTTCAGAGACGCTCAGCAGCTAACTGCAGCTCCCAGAGGGATCCGCACACTTCGGTAATCAAGATGATTCCATTTTCCCAAGCCAGATGGCTGATTGATCTGATATTATAGAGCACATGGTCAGACTAAAATGTTTTTTCACGCTCCATTACACAGTCTACTTCCAAGTCTAGTTAAACGTCTTCAGATCCTCTGGAGAATAAAAAAAAAAAAAAAAAGGAAAGAAAGAAAGAAAAGAAAAACAACAAAAATACATTACTCTAAAAAATGTCGTAAGATACAGTTACAGCAATACCATTGTTCAGAAACCAAGTCTTGATCCTTCTTAGAGAAATCAACGCAACATACAACTTTTCCTAGGAAATATTTTGCTATTGGAATACTTCCAAAAATTTTGGATGTCACAAGGAATGGGCATTTGCAGGTCAACTGCCTCACTTTACCAATAATGAAAGGCCAGGACAAGCTCAGCTTGCCTCTGCCCAAGTCTGCTTGCTCTGCTTTGATTCCCACAGAGCAGCCGCCCATGGTCCTCAGGGCAGCCTGGAGGCTCTGCACATTACCAGGAGCACTGCAACCCACAGCTCTCAATTTGTCCATTTACTACACCTAATACTGATACTACTATAAAATACAGCAAAAGTCTTCAGACACTCTTATCAAAGCATTTGTGCAGCCGCATTTAGACAAAAACCCCAAACAATCCAAGCCTGCAGAGCTTTGAGCATGAGTTGCCAGAGCTGCCACGCTCACCACTCTGCTAGTCAATCTGCAGTGGCTGTGTGTATTTTCTCCTGGGAGCCTCTGTGTAAATATGCAGAGCCTGGATTTATGAAACTATCCTTTTTCTTCTTTGCTCAGTTTTGAAAAGAAGGAAGAAAAATAACCAAGACTCTTTCCCTGTCTCATCCTTTCATCATATTGACATTTTGTCTTTTTTTTTTTTTTTAATCTTTGGAGACCAGGGTTAAAGTTTCATCTCAGCCACAAGTGCAGTGCTTGATAGAATTGTTTCAGTGCCTAATAATTATTTGTCCACACCATAAAACTATTATCTCCCAATCTGTCATCATTAGCCTTTACTGTTTGGCCAAGGCAGCAGGTTGCATTGGTCATACCTGAAGTACATGCTGGGCTGGGTGGGTCAGAAAACACGGGAACTGCCTGCACAAAGCAGACCTTCGGCTAGGAGTATTGCTTGCTTTCCTGGAGGGGAAGAAAAAAAAGGGGACCAATTCAACACAAACAAATTAACGAGCAATTACAAAACAAAAACGAGTGATTACTTTATTGACATATTTCCTCCCAGCAGTTTATGGGTGCAAACTATTTTTTGCATTGGAGAAAAATCAAGGTCATATTATGCTTAGATTGTATCTGATTAATTTTTCATACTAAAAACATTTTCAATGCCAGATGGCTGATTTGTGGTCATTTAGAAACCAGAAGGCATCAGTCAGGAAAAGAAAAAAGCCTTCAACTTTGTTCACTGAACAACCTTTTTATCTATAGCCTTGCTAGACAAATTGTACTAGATACTTTGAGCAGGGAAGTCATTTAAGAGAAGCATGACCCTTTATAATTTTAACGTATCCATTTCCCTACCCTTTAGAATTATTCTTTCCTACTCAAGCCAAGACTCTCCCGGGTAAAATTCCCAAGCACAGAAATATTGACCTCTGTGTTACCTTTTGCTAGGAAGAAAGATAGCAAAAGATCTTTGGGTCAACTTTATCATCATCTAACTTGGGGACACAGAGAGATGCACAGGGAAACCTGGAGTCTGGCTCTGCTGTGACTGCTGTTGTCACCTTCAGGGCACAGTTTGCTAACTGGCAAACAAGGAGCGTCCCCTGGGGACAGCAGAGCAAGGACAGAGCTGCTGCAACTCACACAGCAGTGACCAGACCCCAGTTTGTCAGTGCTGGGGCAGAGAGGAGCAAAGTGCCCAGCTCCCTCCTGTCCAGGTGAAGCCCAGGCTCACACAAGCGGTGCAGAGGCTCTTCTGTCCTGCTTATGCCCGGCTCCCCGCTGCTTAACATTTGCCAGAATGTCGTTGGGAAAGGAAAAAAAACGCTCCTTAATTATAGCCCTTCTGTCGTTCGACTCAGGGGTTTTATTAAAAGGGAGAAAGCACAGAGAGCAGCTAATCAGCTGCTCCTAACAAATGAAGTTCTGGAGATTGATTTTTCAAGTGATTAGCGGTGCAAACATGCATTTTCACAACTCGAAACCTTTGCATTTTCCTCCAACTGCTACTTTCATTAACCAAGAAAAGATCAGAAAAGGACAGTTAACAGCCTCAGATACAAATGGTTTTATCACCAGAGCACACAGATTTAAAAACCTTTTTTGCAGCTTTGCTTTCCTAGTCCCAATAGCTCCACAGGTCCCATGGGCAGCTTTAATTAGAAGCCAAAGCCGTTGCTGTACCTTTGCACATACAATTCTTGCATGACAAAACATCCCTTGCTGGACAAAATGCCACTGAGCTTCACATAAGACATTCACTGCCTTCAGCAGCATCTTAGCACCTCTGCCCCTGCGCTCATGTTAGAGGCTCTAAAGACAGAGCAGAACAGCTGCCAGCACCTTACAGGCTGAAACAGGGACTGGAGTAGCTTAGAGACAGATGATACACCCCAAAGGGATCTAACACTAAGTTTGGTGGCATCAGGCAGCTTACGTGTTTGCTGTGCTTCTTTCCATACCTGCCCGTCCCAAGAGGTATCGAGCACTTGCAGCTGACAGCACCACTGGGGGTGATGAGTGCTTGGCCCTCACGCAGTACAGCTGCAGGTAATGCCGAGCCACAAAAATTAAGGCGAGAGAACCTGTTCAATAGATCACAAACTAGATTTAGTTTAAACCTCCACAAAGGACAGCATTAATAAAATCATCATTTGTTTACCATTCGTTGCCTGATTTTCTGAAGGTGAAAGCTGTACAAGTTTCATCAGCGACTTAATACCTTTCTGAGCAAGGGACTGGATGGTGAACAATTTTGTTTGCACCTGCAATCAATGAACACATCTCCACCTTCTTCCTTGGTTCACACGTGCGGCTGCCAGCAGACAGACTTTTTCCTCCACGTGCTGTTTCACCATACCCAATACACACCCATATACTCCCCATCCTGATGGGGAGAAAAGGAATTTATTTCATCAGGCAGATGAGGAAGTCCAACATGACCACTTTATTCTGGCAGCACATGGCAATAGCATGTGGCCAGCTGGACCCTTGCCATACCGCAGGGAGGATTTTCATGAAATTAAAATGCCCCTAGCCCACAGTGGAGAAAGCATTTTCCACAACGAAGCACAGAGACTGTGGATCCCTCAGTCCCCAGTAGCTGGAGGGGCAGGAAGGGGAGCTGATGCTCTTACTTCATTCTCACCAAAGCAACCTTAGCCAGCTAAATTCCGAGACAGGGCTTACGGCAGGTGTTAGACTCTATTCCTTCGACCTCTTACAGCTTCCAAGATGCAGCAGCAGTGTCCCTGTGAGGGAAGAGAGCTCTGAATTCAGGGCACTGCTGCCACGCGAGTTGCTGCAGCGCTCCTTTCACCCACCGCGCTCTCATTACGCAGCACCACGGGGCATTCACTCACACCGGCAGCGGCAGCTTCGCAGCCCTCCTGCGAGGGAGGGGACTTCGCTTCCAGTGAGATCCAGGATTTGCAATTAGTGCAGTTGTGCAGGACGCTGTTACTGAACCTGCCATTAACAATTACAGTTAACTGGTGGTGAGAGGACAGCATGAATTAAGGCACTGTCTGTACATCATACAGGTAGATATAAACGACTCTCTGTCAAGATACCGCACACCCTATCTCCAAACCCAGCCTTTTTGAGGCACTGCTTTTCATCCAGACCTGCACGGTGATTAAAATACATCAGTGGGACCAGGGTAAAATAAGACCATATGGGCTCAAGATCTCCTTCCCTGCCCTCCAGGGTGAGCCTGTCTCATAGCTATCGGTGAATTCTTCCCACTCTCAATGGCAGGTTTGTTTTTCTTCCCCAAACTGCCAGCACAGGAAGCTCTTAGACCAAAATTTCACTCCTAAGAGAAGTTTTGTCCCAATGTGGAGCAGCTGGAAAACCACCTACAGCTGCTTTCTAAGAAGTGCTCCTTCAAAGAGAAAACTACCAGCTAATCAAGGGCTGTCACCAAACCCCCAGTGCCTCAACCTCCACTGCCTGGCCTTGGCACTGCTGGTGGGAGCAAGCACCAGCAACAGCCACACTAAATATATAGGGGACCTGAGAGTAAAGGTGGATTCCTTGTGCTTACATGGGCTCAGAGATAATCTCACCGCAGTTCTCAGTAGAATTAATTCATGCACTGTGTGCGCAGTGCTATCAAGATATGAGAAGGGATGGATTACATAAATACACATTTGTCATGGGGAGTGGAACAGCTGAGACCAATTTTCATTTTCATTTTCGCTTCTGCACTTAGATACGCTTTGTAGATACTTTCCTTCAGCAAATGATTCAATCCATCACAATTAAAGTAATACAATGTAATCTTTCCTTTAATTGTTCCCTTTCTGCCAGATACACAAGTTCAAAATACTTTCAAAATACGTTCAAAGTAACAGTTAAAATAGAAAGATTATTTTCAAAATTAGCACAAATCTCCTAATGGGTTCAGAATTACATGCTGGGAGTCTTGCAACGCATTGATTTTTGGTACTTAATTTTAAAAGATTTCCAAGGTACGCCAGCATGAATCTGAGCTGATATTTCCCAGGAAACTCTAATGGACTTGGGTATTCAAACCTCTGAGAAGATCAATCTCCTTTCTGGTGCGCTGCTGCAGCCGCTCTCCTTCCCCACGTGCTCGGAGCAGCGGTGCCCAGCTGGGGCAGGGATGCAAGCTCTGCCTCCTCGTGGCAGCAGCCCACGGGCCCCACACCTCATCCACTTCCGCGGCTCAACAGCAAAGCAGTAGGGGAGGTCACAAACACAAGATCAGAAGGACAAATACAGGGAAAGATGCCAAGCAGAAATGTGGACGGTGTCTGTTACTTGCACAGCGGTGGTGAGGAAGAGGGAACGACCAGCCACACGCTGGGCTGCATGCCCCAGCAGCTTTGCTCGCTGCTAACTTGGGCAGGTTTGACCCACAACTTAAAAAATTTTACTAACCATTCACAGGCTTGCACAAGTACACGTACACACAGATAAGCCTGTCAAACAGCAAGTAAGAGCGATGCTCAGAGCGTCTGCCCTCTCCTGTAACCAGGAAACAAGTGAAAAAGAGCAGTTCGACATCACCCCGGTTAATGAATGTGATTTCTTCTATCCCCTCCTTCCATCTCCTACTTGTTCTCAGCTCCCTTCCTTGCTGTACCTACTGAATGATTGATTTCACATCCAAGCTCTGCAATGAAGCAATGCCAGCAGTGATGCCTATTAGCTGAAGAGCTGAGGACTTCCCAGCACGAGGCAGACCAGCACTCTCAGCAGTAGCTGGGGACACCAAGCGACGGCGTGCAACGCGCACACAATGCCCAAGGAGCTGGAAAGCAGCAGCAGGGTTCCTCCCCATGCTGCCCCAGCGCTGACAGCGGCCACCTGCTCTCACACATGTCAGCTCAGGCTCACGCAGCACGTTCTGGGAAGCAAATACGCTAAATTGTCAGTGCTGCCTTTTTTTTTTTTTTTTTTTTTTTTTTTTTTTTTTTTTTTTTTTTTTTTAACAAGTCCTAGAGTAATCGTGCTTTCCGTGAAACTTGGCTCCCCAAATTGCAGAGCTGCTGGTGATAATTGTAACAGAAATGGCATCCACCAGCATTGTAAGGATTCAAGCTTTCATTAGCTGTCAAAACAGGGTTTCATACAAGCAGCACTGTTGTTTCAGGAACCCTTCCTCAATAAAGGATTCAAAGGGAACCATACCCACACCAAGCCATAGATCTGCATGTTACACTAAAGCACTTGCCCTGGTCACCACAGCTATCCAGGAGCTCTGTAACTACTGAGCGATGTGAAGGATGCTGAAGTAATCAGCACATTCAAGCTCTTACTGTAGCAGGTATGCAGCTGCACCTGGAAAACAGCCTTAGAAAAGCAACTGGTGTAAAAGGAGTACAAATTCACAAGTTTTGCAAATGTCTCAGCACATCCACCACGCAGCAAGCAGTCTGTGAGCACACACGACAAGCTTTAGCTGGTCAGGATGGGTGCCAAAACCAGTAACATCCTACCTGTTAGGTGTCCCCCAGCTGAGCCTGCAGAAAAAGCACTGCTGCTTGTCCCAGCTGGGCTCGGGCATCCCTACGTTGTGCTGCAGCACCCAGCAGGAAGCTCACCCAGAAGACACCAGCCACGTCATGCCACACGTTATCTGTGAGCACACGCTGGAGAGGAGCGAAGGAGCAAGAGGATGGGGTGACAGCCCTTATCCCAAACCTCTCCCTTTCCTCCTGCCTGCACACAGCATGATGCAGGTGAGCCAGGCTGGTGAAGCAGCAATGGGACACCAGGGAGATGGTAATGGGGCTGCTTTCAGCACACAGCAACAGGCAGTGCCTCTGAGTGCAAACCACAGCTTCTGGAGTCAGTCCCCAGCCCAAACTGGTCTCAGCACAGGAGGAAGCTGACCGGTTGTGCAGTAACATATGAGAAAATGTGTCAGTTACCTATCAGGAAACGTGTCTCCCTACCTTCACGTAGGAGCTGAGGACCATTCTGCTCAGAACCACTGGATACAGCTATTTACAGCAGTGTTGAAGAACCCAATTCCTGTGTGGCCAAACGCAGAGTTACTTCACAAGGCTACTCTGTGCTGAAAACCCCCATAACCCTTCACTTACATACCCATAAATTAATACACCAGAACTTGTATTCTTACTTCCTGTGCATACGTTATTATTACCTTACCCCATCTGAAGATGGTGGAGCTAAATGAAATCCATGTTTAAATCACAGGTTGAAAGGAAGAAGAATCAATGAAAGCTCTTTCCATTATCTTCAGCAGAATTAGATGACAATCTCGATGCCCAGGTCCTATCACATTGTGTTACTATTAATATTACGCATATTAGTACGGGCAGCAAAACACAGCATTATATCAAATCCTGTCTGAACGGAGTCTTATCAAAGAAACGTCTGACAGAAAATACATCCTCCTAAAATAACCGCGGTATTTGCTAGTGGCACCCACACAGCGCAGCACTGAAACTCCTCGGCTGCTTTCCAAGCTCCCAGAGCAGCGACGTGCTCACAAGAACCACAAGGGCTGCTCTGCTCTCCCTCTGCGCAGCCACAAGCAACTCATCCTTCTTCCAGCACTGTAAAGCTTCCCGAAATGAGCCTGGTCTTACAGGACTCATTTAGACACATTAAGTTTTGCCAAGCTAAAAGCTAAAGGGTTATTTAGGATTAAGCACATTCGGCAGATCCAGTGAATTCCTGCCTTCCACACGCACCGTGATACTGGGGACACCGCACATCAGCAACCCAGCCAGGATGCACAAGCAAGGATTTGTGGACTACAGGGAGATACCAGGCACATTTAAACTGTAACAATAATACCTTGAGAAGTCTCTGCTGTGGCCTTACTTTTACAGTTTCAATGCTCAGTAGTACTCAGCTGCTCAGCTGAAGCAGGGCGCTGGTGCCACCTGCCGTTTGCTCGGGGCTGGCAGGTGAGCACGGGCAAATCAAACAACAACGTAAAAGAAAATGACATGCTAAATTGAAATCTGGCAGAAATGAAAATCCTTCAGATGCCTCGGGGTCTCCTGTGGCTGTTTAGGGACGAGAGTCTTAGACAAGATTTATTTACGTGGGAAATACCACAAAGGAATCCTTGCTGACACAGTCCTTAATGCCACGTGAAATTAACCACAACACCCTCCTGGAAGCAAAGGGCAGGAAAAAAAAACAGATACACATGCTTACTTTTAGGGAGCTGGAGGACCCGGCTCCCCCTGCCAGGGGTGAGGACAAGCAGCCAGGGGCCTGAGGGGCTGCAGCCACTGGCGCTCACCCCGCTGGTTTGTGAGATGCCCAGTTGGAGTCCTGCCCTCACACAGAAACACCAGTTTGAGTTTGACAAGTGAGGATCATTTTATCATTTTCCTGGGGCTCAACTCATATAACTCACTCTGTCCTTCCCAAGAACTATTTACTGACAGTTGTGCCCAGCCGGACAATGGGTTTCACGCCGACATCGGTGCTGCACCGTGCAGAGGAGGCAGGCAGCACATCTCTGACACAGCACAGGCAATGCTGCTTCTAAATGGAGCCACCGAGGCCAGCAGCACACGAGCAGGATGCCCGGGGGCCATGCGGGGAGCAGCAGCTGTCAGGGAGGCACGCTGAGCATGCATGGGGAGCTCCTGCGAGAGCTAAAAACAGAGCGGGCAGCGAGAGCCAGGCGCACGCCATCCGCCCGCTGCACTTGCTGTGGCAGCCTGTGGCCGAGGAACGCCACAAGTCCCTGCTCGGAGCCATTTCCCTGCCTCAAAATGCTTCCTGGGCACCCAGGGGACAAGCCAGTTGTAAGAGCAGTGCCGTGAGGGCCATGGAACAAGGCCGTGATGAGCGCAATCCTTCGCGCTCCGGCAAGTCACTTGCTGAGGGAAAGGCCGGGATAAAACATTGTGCTCTGAAATGCCTTGGCTCTGGTTGGGTAAAACCTGGACCCACACTCACTGGGAAGCTCTCTCAATAAATTCAGACATTTTGTGGAGCTGTATCACAACGCAGCCCGCAGAGACCCAGCTTGTGGGCACAGGGGTACATGGTCTCTGCAGATACCAGTGTCCTACCTAGGGCTGGCCAACTCCCACAACACTCCCCACTCCTCAAATTACCTACAGATAGGTCCATAGAGCTCAGACGGGCACAGCTTTAACTTCCAGTGGAAAATATATCAGATATGTGAAAACATCTGAAGTTAAACCCGAGGGAGTGGTGCCAGAAGGCAAGCACAAATGGGAAGATGGGCTCACCCTTCTGGAAGTTTCTGCCTGAACACCAAACCTAAATGTTGGCCGTAAGAATTAATTTACTTCTTACCATCAAACCTAGCCTAGGCACCAACTTGGCGGTGAAGCCACTCAGTTTCTCCCCAGGGCAGGTCCATTTCTTTTCACGCTAAGACCTCTTGTTGGAAAAAAAATAAAATAAAATTGTTCCTCATCTATCCCAGAGCCTGCCGTGCTATCAGCTGAAATGTCACTTCAAAAGCTCCTGACAAAGCCCTTCAGGAAGAAGGGCCCCCAGCATCTGCGACCTTTGCGCCAGCTGCTTTCCCATTTTGAGAAGGGTTTAGGATGGCTGGAATAGCCAGTTTCTTCCCACCACCCCTGCCTTCAAGCAGGTGTCAAAAGTTCATCTGATAATTACGCCATCGGGAGGTGGATAATAGTTTAAATTCCTCGGGCTAGATTGTCTAGCTGGAGGACCCGAGTCAATCCCGCTGGCTGGCAGTGGAGGTGCTCGTCCACAGGAGCGGAGAGCTGCACTTCTTGAGTTTGAGACCCCTTCCTCGGAGGTCTCAGAGCACAGAGAGAACTGGAGAGGCAAAACACATTCAGAGGAAGCAGGTGCAGCTCCCAGAGCATCCCTGCACCACGGTCTGTGATGGTAATATGATGTAAACATCCACCCAAACTGTAAACCGCACAGAAAGCCTGCAAGTGGCAAAGCTGCATCCCTGCCACAGCATTCAGAAAGCAACAAAACGAGGGTGGCTGGAAAGCTTTGCTCGGGGACATCTCGTCCTACCTGTGCACGTCTGCACGAAGTGATTCCCCAGAGCACTGCAAAGCAGCGTTTTGGAGCACGGGAACATCCCGGTGAACTTGCTGCACTGACGCTGGGCCCAGACACAACCCAGAGCTGCAGAAATGCCCTGGCTCCAGCTCCTCGCCTCCACGGTACCTCACCGAACAACACACCTTGCTTGATACCTAAACGTGTAATGGCAACATGCTTCTGCCACCAGACATTACTTCAGCTCCCAGGACTTTGCACAGCTTCCAGACTCAGTAGAAGTCTAACACGAAACTGCTGGAGTCAGCAAGGTGTAAACTGGCTCCACCAAATGCAAGCCGTCCCCTGCATTCCTCAGCATTTGGAGAGTGGGAGCAGCCCCTAATTTCTTTAATACCCTGAGTAAATAAAAAACGGTTTACATTCCAGATCTGTATAAAAGCTCTAAAAGCGGCCTGCTTCTAACAAAGGTTTGTCTCGCTTCTTTTTTTTTTTTTTCTGGCCCCCTTTCAAAGCAGAGAATCGCAATCAACCTGAGCTGGCGTCCTTCCAGCACTCAGGAGCACTACCAGGGTAAATTGTAAGCGACTCCAGAGCTGGCCACTATTGTATCCCAACACTGAGCCTGTTTTGTTCCAGCTAATGGTGCGGCTCTGCTGACTCTCAAACATGCTGGAGAGAATAAATTGCTGCAGTTTATTCCCATCCAGCTGACATTCCCGCCATGCCATCACTCACGAGCAGGGATCTGCACGTTAGAAATGTAACCCACCACCCCAGACAGCCCTCAGTCCTCGGAGGGGAGTGGGAGGAGAGCAGACTTTCCACTTCAAGACTCAGCGTTGACTCCATCCGCTGGCAGCGAGAGCCCCAAACCCAAACTGATGGCTTAGAGGTGAGTAATACTTTAATTTCCAGCATACTAATTACACTCTCAAGTTACGCGATAGCTTTTCAGGGGGTGGGGAGGAGAGGCAGGGCTGTGATTTGCCATTTCTGATCGTGGTGCTTCCCTGTCTGGCATGCTGAGCTCTGCCTTACCTGCAGACTCTTTGAGGGCTGGCGTTCAGGCATCCTGGCAAGCCAGGCGAGGCCACCCCACAGCATGCCTGCCTACTGGAGCATCTCTTACCCTCGTGCCCAGGAACCAGGCTGTTCCAGCCCCAAAGTGTGTGTGCATGGGGTGAAGCCATGATGGGCTCTCCCCTTTGAACACCTCACTCCATTAACAAGTTACTTTGCAAGCAGCCGATCCACCAATACTTCATTTAGTGCCATTCAGCTGCTGCTTTACACTCAGCTGGGCTGCAGGCTCAGGTGTGCTGCTGAGCATCTGCTGGGCTCCACGGCTTCTTCCTAAAGGTGGCTCACCAGCAGGTAAAAAAGAAAAGAGGAGGGACAGAGATGCTACAGGGAAGAGGGTGGCCAGAGAACGTAATGCGTATTTTCAGCGAGAGTCTTTTCATAGCACTGAGAACTGTATGGAGAGGGATTCCCAGAGCCATAGGCATGGGATCTGGATTTAGTCTTTCATCCCGTTCTACCTTTCAGCAGCAGCAGACTGTTCTGATCCTCTAACAGCACATCGTTTGCAACCACAGAAGTTCACAGACCAGCAAATTAACTCAAAGGTACCAGCATGAGTCATGAGAACACCTGGGTATTTCCTGGGTATTCCCCTACAGCAGCCAAGGAGGCAGGACGCCCTGTTCCTGCCCTGGCCATGCAGCAGCCACAGCACAATAAACATCTCACACACTCTGGTTAGGTCTTATCCAAAGGGCAGTGAAAATAAGGGACAGGGAGGGGATTTTTGAGCCTTCCAAAGTCAGATGAAAAAACAGCTGAGGATCAAGCGTTTCCTTGGCAGAGCAGGGGGGTTAGGTGTACCTGAGGGTAGGACCAGCCTCTTGGCGGGACCTTTATTCTCTCTCTGTTGCCTAGATGGCAACTCATCCTTTCCAGATTCGGCTTTTCAGCTGTATCAGTTAGAGAATACAGGGTATCTGAGAGCTTTTTGCATAATACTGTCTCAATTTGCTGTTGCTTCAAAAGGTAGTAAAAAAATTCACTGGTTAGTCCTCACTGCCTGAGAGAGAAACATCCATTCACCAAAAACAGTCAACAAGAACTGTAGCTCATCTCTACCTCTATTGCATCCTTAACTCTAAAACTTTGAGCACATTTATCAAACAGCTCTCTTAATAAGCAAACTTTTGGGGGAGAGGGGAGCAGGCAGAGACTATGCCATGCACTGCAGAGAAGCCTTCAGATGATCATTTCCTAACTTCCAAAGGCTACAGCTGATGGGGACAACCCCTCGCTGCCTGTTTGCAGAGCAGCTGGGCACCGCTGCCCCCTGCCCAGCAGGCACTACATGGGGCACTTCTGTTTTCCTGAGACTTTGCAGCCATTAGGCATTATAGCTTGCTTACAGGACACTTATGCACGAGTTTAGCAGACAGCCTCTCTCTGTCCTTCTCTGGCAGGCAGAAATTTCAAGCCTTGATGTATTTTTAGGACTTTTCTACCTAGGAAGTTGGTGTGTCAGCTGCCAAAAAGACAGAAACCTGAGCACCCACTGAGATCGCTTCCTAGATAGACTCCTCAGCAATCAGCATGATATCTGGTAGATCAAGGGACCACCAGCAGTTTAGGCTCAGGCCACCGGTGGTTTTCATTAGATGAACTTCTTACTGTAGAAGCCTTTTCACAAGAGGGGAGCAGAAAGTATATGACCAGAAAAGCTTTCTAGCACTTGTAAACAGAAACAGGTACGTGCCAGCATAAAATGCAATCTGGGGTGAGAAAAATAAGTCGAGTCTCACTTTTCTAATGAAATGGCATTAAAATCTGAGATTCCAGGCACTGCACCATTTGTGGTTCCAAAGCTATTGCTGTGGTTTACATCAAGTCAAGTGCATGCTAAACCCAGACCTGGCTTTCTAGCTTGCCTTTGGGTGGAAATGAACATATTTGCTTTAGCAATGCACTGAGGTTGCTTGGCAGGTTGACAGATTTGCATGACACCAGCTGCTTCCAGCTCAAATGCCCCACACGTAGCTAAAATTAGGCTGCTCAGATTTCCTGGAGGGGACTCTGCCGCACAGCCCACACCCAGCCTTCGTGTGGGCTCCCCAACAACAGAGCTCACTGCTCAGCACGAGCCAGGCACACAGGGCGTTGTGGAAGCCCAAATGCCATTGCTCCTCGCTTAAACTAACCTTTTGCTCCCCTTGAACCTAGGGAATGGCACGTGCCACTGTCATTAGAGCTGATGTGAGAGCTGAAACAGGCCGGTCTTCAGCTTCCTAGCGTCAAAACCAGAAAACACAGAGCAGGTGTGTTTATTGTGCATTTGAGAAACATCTGTGCAAGTTACTTAGTTTTATGGAACACTTTGCCAGCTCCATTTTCTATGAAATGGCTTGGGTTTTGTAAAATTATTTCCCTTTAACGTTTTCTTTGTACAGCAATGGCTTAATTTATGCTGCTTGAATAATGACAACTTGAGGAACTGACACTTTTAATTACATCATCTAATTCTACAAACATGCCTCTGAACTAGTGATATTCTTATTATTTGCACTTTGCACGCATGATTTATGCTCTGTATAAAAGCTCTGTGGCTGGAATAACTTTAAAAAAACCGGGACAGTAGCACGGGGACGGCTGTCCCCAGCAGCCAGACGGACACCCTGCTGCTGGGAGGCCAGCGAGCTAAAAAAAAACTCGGGGCATGTCAGTGAAACTGGAGATGAGAGAGCTTTAAATAACACTGGCCTCACAATGCAAACACTCTCAAGGGAAAACCTGGGTTTCATGCTTAATTTAAGGGTTTAATGTCACCCAGGGAATTTGCTCCGTGCATGGAAGCACTGGCACTGCCTGTCCCCACTGCTGGTGGCTCCACGGGTTGAACACGTGCCAGCATCACCAGTGTTGGTGGAGCTGACACAAGACAGGATTTAAGACCAGAAATCACAGCGGGCACAGAGGTGAGGTGACTCACCCAGATACAGCGTGGTGGCGTGGTCGCTGGTGGCCTGAAGGCCAAGTGCCACTGACCCTGTGTAGTGACTTCCCCTGTCCGGGGCACAGGAGGCAGCAGGGACAAGGTGCCAGGGTCAGGGCACAAAACTCGGTCACTCACCTCTGCTTTCACCTCGACTTTCTCTTCTGCACAGCAAGAGCATGGGCAGGCAGGGCTCAGGAGGTTTCATCTACAGCTCCACCAGCTGTAAAACATCAGGGCTGCAGGGCAGAAGGATCTGGCTGACTGTCAGGATACGCTGTGGGATGGCCACCCAGGGCACACCTGTGTTACAAGAGATGGCAGAAGCTATAGCAGGAGAAAGATATCATGCAGGTTCTGCAAAAGCTACCCCAGCTTACTATTTGCTTCTGAGGGTAACTTCTCTATTGGTATCAGCCTACAGACATCACATTTGAATGTGTTCCCACCTGAGGCCATGCTTTCTCTTGGTTCCTGTTCAATGCAATTTAAATGCTAGGCAAAAGAAAGAGGCTCTGGGACAGAAGAGGCTTTTTTTTTTTTCCACTTTGTCCATTTTGGTAATTACTAATATAGTACTGCCATCCTATGGTATTGCAGTCACAATTCATTCAGTGCTGTTCACAAAAATTGTCTTCATACGTAAGTATCGGGTCTGGTCTGGGGAGAGCAGGGATCAGAACACACCACGCGCTGCAGAAAGTGCAGATGTAATGCAGAGAAACAGCAAGTCATCGCGGGCACCGGATAGCAAACCCCTGAGTCATGCACAGTTCCATGCACTGACCACACGATTCAGATCTCCTAAGCCTGCTGGAATGAGATCTCCACCTCCTTGGAAGGTGTGCCCACACGAAGCACCGAGCTGGCTAGGCTGCGCTCTTCCTTGGCCCCATTAACTTAATCCTCCTGATGACTCACAGCAAAGTCACCACCGCACTCTAGGGTGACAGGGGCAACTGTCTGGCCGAAGAGCCTAAGGTGACTTTTTCTACTTCACACAGGGGGTACAAACCCATTTCTGGGACAATAGAGACCATTCCCACACAAGCATCACCCGACGGGAGCTGCTGAGGCTGTGCCCATTGCAGCGCCCGAGCAGCCGCTGCAGGCTGTGGTCACAGCACGAGAGCCTTCCCGCTGAGGAGCGCCCTGAGACTTATTTTACCCCCTTTGGACCCTCATGATTTCAAGTGGAAGCTTAGCATCTCTTAAAATAAGCTCTAAGCATCTTAATTTCGGTGCTTAAAAAGGGATTTGGTCACTTGGTTCTAGGAACTGTTTGACTCCAGTTTGACTCAAGTGTCCGATGTCCAGCGGCAGTTCAGCTGTTGCCCGAACAAGGGGTGGGACGGCCGGGATTTTCCAGCCCTGAGAAACAGCTGTACCCAAAGGAGGTGTGTGACAGGAGGGACAAAGTCAATTCACTCCTGGCCCTGTCTGCTGCCCGTTTCCAGCCGCTGGGTGAGGGGCCTGGCTCCTGTGGGGCAAGTACCCCACTAGGCAGCCCCCGAGCCCCACCTGGAGCCACCGGACTCACCCCTAAGGGCTGGAGCCAGGAGCCTCAAGGCAAGCAGGGGGTGATGTGGATGGAGAGGTGATGAGAGCCCCTCCTCTCACACCATACAGTGAGCAGGACATGTACCAGGAGTGATAACACGCCAAGTGCACACGTGCCGGCACTCTGCCCATGGACACCAACATCCCACAGGGTGTGGATGTGACATTCCTCGTGACGTTCTGCTCTGTACAGTGGTCAAACTCATTTTAAGCTCAAAGACTTCCAGGTATGGAGGCCAGACACACTTCTCAGCAGCTGTGCTGTTCTCCATGCTTGGAAGTCTTTGCAAATCCCACAGCAAGCTGTGGGATTAGCTGTCCTTGGAAGCCAGCTCACCTTTTTGTCTTTCCTGGACAGCATGTATGGCAATCCCCACAGGACTTCCACCTACAATTGTTCAGATGCCAATCTAAAATCTTACCTGCTTGGAAGAAGGCATTAAAATCCTAACACACACAACATGAACCTTTGAAACAGCACACTTCAGCGCTACATGTTCTGAACATATGCTACGAAAACTGCCTCGGTATTCAGCTGCAATTCTATAATTTAGAAGGGCTCCCATCAAGCTTCAAACCCAAGCAGGACTTTGCAGTTTCTGTAAATACCTCACCAATGGCCACAATAACCTCTTCAGCTGTTTGGTTATTTTCAGAATATCTCAGCTGATGCAAGCCCGCCCACCTCCCCATCCCAAGAGCAGCCATTGAGAATTCATTGCACAGCTTGAAACTATCACGGATTTCCCTGCCACCTAGCCAGTCATCTCAGGAGCCTTGCTGGGTGAGAAATGAAACCAATAAAACTGCTCTTTTCTCACGTCCTACAGAAGCCTGGGTATTCACCACCACCCCCCAGCACCCCAGGAGCAACAGAGAAGCTGCTTTCATGGCACATAATCATGTCACCAAGTAACTTGTAACTAGAAAACTCACTGCTGAAGTGGTGACGACCTCCCCATTTAGCCCTGTAGCACAGAAGACAGCTCAAGACAGTGCTTTTGCCTTCAATAAAAACTCATTCTTTGTGATCCTACTTTCAAATCACTGTTAATCTGTGTAGGGCAGTGCCACAAGACATCCAAGTGTCTAGCGTACACTCCCAAAGTTTAAGCAGCTCTGTAAAAATAAGCAACACCCCCAAGTGCATGCAGATGGCTTGCAGAATGCATCACTCAAACTGACTGAAGGCTGCTATCCTGTATTTCTATTTCAGCCTGTTTTCTAAATAAAAGGCATGCCAGGACATTAACATGCTGATGCAGTCTAGGCCTGCCCTCCCTCTAAATGTAGATTCAGAATCGCACTCCTCCCCGCTCCCCACACTCTTTATAACAGTGTATTTCAGATGCAGCAGATGCTCATTTTGATCCGAAAACAGATTTAATGGGTTTTCCATGATCTAAACACCTGGCAAAAGGGCTTCATGCAGCCTTAATACTTTCCTAACCCGATGTTAAATTTGTCCCTGTGTTGCATATAGCATAATTCTGCAGCCATGTCAACTATTCAGGTAATGCTAGAATGTCGTCATTATGGTTTATGTCAGCAGCATGATCTGTATGTACCTTGTAATCATTCTGGTGTTGGGTTGCAAAGGTCCCCGGACTCTTCATTTGGCTGAGTCTAATTCCATCCTCCTCACAAAGATCTAGGGTTACACTAAGTAAAGGTTGACATTTACAGGAGACGCTAAGACTGCTGGAACGACTCGCCAAGGTAAAGCCCTGGCTGTGTATTCTTTCAAGGGCGTAAGCTGTGCGGTGCCAACGTTTCTGCTAGCCCACTGAGCTCAGCGAGGCAAAATGGGCTGGGGGCATGGCCCATGGGGAGCCCAGAGCTGCATAGTGTCACCACGGTGCTCTGGCAGCGCTCAGGGACAGCACCCCGGGTGCCTGAGAACAGGGAGCTCAGGAGGACCTGGAGCTTCAGACTAAAAGCTGCCTTTTTAGGTGATGAAGCTTTTAATGTTTGTTTTTATTTTTTTTTAATATATATATCCTTTGAACTCATTACCCAAGTCCAACACTAGCTGTGAAAACACGCGACACCCTCACTAGAAGCAAACTGAACAAGGACCACGCAATGTGAGACGAGAGCACGGCATCTAACACGGACCGTGCACATCAGGATGAGCTGGGCTACAACCAGGGTCCTGCAAGCAACGTCATCTTCATGGATGGCTTCTGCTTCAGACAGTAAACATTTAGAACAGGCACAGACTTCCGTATCATGGAGCCTCCTCTCAATAAAATTAGGAGGATCCTGCTTTGGCAATGGATTACCCTGTCCTTCCTTGAGCTTGGTAACTGCAGCATCACACACATAGCTTCTGCTATTCCCTGGGTGAACGCTGACTGCTCTGAGTGTTGCATGGCACCAGCCCAGTTTCACTTACAAGTTTGACAGCCATCATCTTTGGCCATGGTCTCTGCCACATCAGGTCTTAGCTGCAATCACCACTTTGTGAATAATGCCACACAACTATTTGTCTTGAGCACAAGTGCAGAAGCTAGTGCTGGCATTAGCTGTTTAGAGCTAAAGAGCAGAGCCCATTTTATCACAGCTGGAAACTTGTCACAAGTGGGCCATCCTCTCTCTAAGATCTTGCCTCAAGCTTCAGATAAGCCACGTCCCACCCCCTGAGCAAGCCTCCTGAAGCACCCCACCATGCTTCAGCCTTAAACCCCAGCCTGCCACAGCCTCACGTCCTACCACTTCACTACTTACCCTTGCTCAGGGCACATCTGTCCCTTCTGTTTGTATGCACACCTTCCCCTATTCAGAATTGATCATGGATTTGAAACAGACAAAAAAAGAGAGTTGTACAGAGTGGAACAGCTAGGAGGCAACAGCATGCCTACAGGAGAATTACGTCTTTCGTTGTACAGAAGTAAAGGGCTGTAGGTCATACAATGCCACTTTGTTAACGCTGTTTCAGTTGTGTGGGAAGACCTTTAAAGCAGGTATGTCAGCCCACAAGTTCCTTTAACAACCTGCACGTCTGATTTTTACCACCCTTTTTCTTTGGAAGAAAAAAAATCAGCCCATTTTACAGGTACTGAAAACCGACTACACTGCCCATCACCTGCTAGACTGCAAGGAGGCAATGCCAAACATCACAGGGTTCCAGGGTGGACTACAGCCAGCATTGGTTTGTGGCGGGAGCCCAGGGCAACTCAATAACATTGGCTTCCCTTGCCCTCCCTCCCACATCCAAGGATTTAGGATTATTCAGCAGCCCTTGCATCATAGCACAGCCCTGCTGATGGTTGTGTGATACAACCTTGGACAGGAGCCATCCTCGAACTGCTTGAGGGATACTTATAACTCAAGAGCAACAGGCAGAAATATGAAGGCCATGGGTGGTCTAAGTACATGCGTAATTGCTCTGCTGGATCAGGGCCAAAGGCAGCGCCGCAGGTTTGAACGAGGCGCAGTGACATGTTCTCACCAGGGATGTCCAGATGCCCTAAAGCAGCCCATTGTCTCACGTGGCTGCCTACGGTTGTCAGGTGGCTGCACCAGGCAACTCCGACCAGAAAGCAATCAGCCTTCTCTGTAATCTCTTTTGGTTGTTTTGGAGAAGGACAGAAAGCAGGGAGAGAGAATACATCTCAGATAAATTATTTGGACCAAATCATTATGCAAAGCCTCAGAAGAGTTCAGATGTGTACACTGATTTTGTTTTTATAGCCAACCGACCTGTCAGAGGTACCTAAAGCCCGGTCTGTGGAGGTGCCTCCATATCTCTGCACTGTGCTCCTATCTGCAGCTGGTTAGATACTTCAATCAAAACACAGAAAAACCCTATCAGAACCCTGGAGCCCAATTTCATTTGTTAACCCTGTACTTTGCAAAGGTCCATACCAGTAGCCTTGGTTAAACACCGCCGTGCTCTGGAGGTGACCTAAGCCTACTCTCAAATACTGAAGGATGCTACGATTTTCTTTGGCACATACCACTTGCTCTCTGAGCAGCATACGTTCTGTTCACAAAGCATAGCCATTGTGTCTAAGGAAAATGAGACAGCTCTAAACACGCTGCCTTATGTTTGCCTCTTCAGGTTCCCAGGGTAAATCTGAAGGCTCAGCCTCCTTGCAAGACTCAGCGTCCTGGCAGGGCCAGGGGAATGTCACAGTAAGTGCAAACGTTGTGTCAACTATATTCAGCCTCTTAAAGTCCTTGTCACCATCCTGCCATATTTTTTCCCCCCCACACACTAGGAAAAAGTAGAAAGCCACCAGCATTTTGCTGACCATTGGTTCCTCAGCCAATGAAGTCTTTAGCAGCTGGTCAGTCCCCCGGAGTTGTACCACTTTAATTCAGTCATTACCTATTAATCTTCAAAGAGCACTTTACACATTTTTAAGATTATTATTTATAGTATCTTAGAGGTATTTTGTAAGGATCAGCTCACACACATATTCAACAAGTGACAAAGAGGCAAAGGTCATCATGAATATCAAGACCTGGACCTTAAGCCCTGGAAAAAGGATTTCTGTCTTGGAACATTTCCTAGCTGGAATTGCTAAGAGAACTGATGGAGCAGGGGATAAGGCTGGAAATACTTGAGTGGCTGCCACACAGCTTAGCCATTTGTCAGCCTCCTTCAAAGATTCCCTTCAGAACAGAGAGTTGATTTAGAGCACATACTCAGTCAAGAGCTGGGGAATTCAGACTATCTGGAGACCGACTGACATCTGAAATCAGGCTGGGAGGAAAAGGCTGACCTGGGTTATTTTGGAGAAGAGAGAGATTATAAAAAAAGACCATTACCCCAACAAAACAAACCCAAACGCTTCAGTTGCACGTTTATATGTGAGACACATGGTTCAAAAGCTAAATGAGAAGGATATGAGCAGACATCAACACTCCACCATAGAACAAGGACATAATCTTGTTCTGCAAGTATTTGATCACCTTAAAACTGCTGTTCTTGATTAATCAGAGACCTTATTCTAAGCTCTATGTCAGTTGAGCTCTAAGGAAAATGCCAAGACAGAATACCAAAGTTCCTTCTCATTTCTCTACATTCAACCTCATTGCAGTTACCACATGCACCATGGATGACAAGTAAAACTAGACCTGGAAACAACTAAATCAGGTACAGATCTCTGTAGAATGGGACAATTACTAGAGAGCAACACAGATCTTTACACAAACCACAAGATGTGGGCATCAAATTGGCTTACAATGTAAGACCAGCAACACTTACCAGTTATCAGCTCTTCTTTCTACTGATTTGGTGGTAACAGTCCAGTGAGGCATTTTCTCTTGGAGCATTTAAACATAGACTGCCACTGGGCATGTATTAGGCTGGTGCATGATCAGAAAAAACACTGTCATCTTTTTCTGTTTCAAATAACGTGCCGACAACATAACCAGGTTTCTGCAGATCAGAAATTCAAGCTAAAAAAATTGCCTTTCTTCACTATATATAGATGCAGAGTCCCTCGGCAAGCCTGATTGGTTCTTCCTATGGAAGCACACCTGTGTTCACAAAGGTAAAGAGCATACATTGTCTGAGCAACACGGCCTGTTCTGTGACTTCAACTGCTACCATTACATCTTGAGTGTTCTTGTTCTATCAGAAAATATTTACAGGCTGTAACATTGGCTCATTCACATTTCAAGAAAGCCAGCACACTTAATTAGTGATGCTATCAAACTAGCATCTTAATTCGTAGCTGATCCAGACAGAATTACTCACATAAAGTCATCTCATTTATTTCCTACAAAGAAGGCTGAAATGGAAATCTCTCACAGAAACCTTCCTTATTGTGTTGTATCCAGTGGAAGAGATTTGTTTTTTTGTTTGTTTTTTTTTTTTCCTGCATTTTTATCTTCATTTGAATGCATAACTAAGCTAAAGCATTTTAATAAGCACTGTTCTACAGGTGAAAGAAACTCCACTCAAAAGCCTCTTCAAATACATTTAGAATTAAATAAATTATTTTAAATAAAATAGGGACACCAAATCATCTTCACTGAAGGGTGTATTGTTCCATAATAATTGTTCCAGTGTGGAAACACTTTTGTCAGCCACTTAATGCCAATTTCTCCTCCCCCAGGGTCTACAAAACATAAGAGCTACAAAGGGTCAATTGGTGGTATTTGAATGTCGCATTCGTGCTACACCCACCTTACACGTTCACTGGTACAGAGAATATGATCAGATAACAGATTCTGCAGATTTCCGAATACTACGAAAAAGTAGGTATTACTCTGCCAGTCTGATGCAATTTTACTGGGACAGGGACAGAAGAGGCAGGAGAACTGCTGTAAAATTAGGAGACAGTACATATTATAGAGTCTTGAGTTAAGGTTAAAAGTATCAAATGAAGTTGCAGGTGTTTGTGTAGAGTTTACACTTTCTTTGACAGTGCCTGAGCAGAGCAGGAGCAATGGGGAGAGACCGGCACAGTGCCAGGGTACTGCTGAGCCACGAGGGCATTGTCACTGCGCATTATAACTAATGATGAATTCAAGGAAAAAAATTAGAACATTTTAAACAATTTGTCATAATCCCAAGCATGAGGTCATAGCTCCAGTGGGCCAAGTTCACAGATGGACTAATTCCAAAGTCAGTGGAGCTCTTTCTCTACCAACTCAGCAGAGAGGTGTTCACACCATCGGGTCCCAGCCAAACCTGACATTCCCCTGTCCAGATGGAATTCCTTCTGATGGACAGAAAGGGAGATGTTCCCTTTTGTAACCTCACTGACAGCTAAGCTGGGAAAGGGAGAGGGCTGAAGGTCTTTCTTCCAGTCTGGCATTATAACCATTTAATTTTTTTTCTCTCTTATTTTGAGCAGAGGCTTGTTCATCATCAGTTCCTGGTAAGTACACTGCAAATTTCTTTGTTAGACAATTCACTGGTTTACTATCTCAAGCTTAGTTTTCCCCACCTCATCCAGTATAAAACAATCATGCTCAAACAGTAACCAGAAGACCACATGCAATGTCAGACTAAGAGTTTTGCTTTTGACAGAAACACCTGAAAGGCCCCAATTTATTCCACAACAATGAAATATCATCCTTTTACATTCAAAGACATGTGCCCTATATGTTAAGGGAAAACATATAAACTATGTGGCTTTTCTGGGGTTTAAACCTGTGCAAGAGAACATGCATTTTAGCAAAAAAAAAAAAAAGTATATATATACATATACATACATACATATATATAGTTGCGCCTTGTTCCCTTAAGGTCCCAGGAAGGAAGATCCTTCCTTCTCCTTTGCTCCTTCTGAATCCTTTGACTTCCTATGCTCTTCACATCACTTTTTTTGCATTTCATTGCTGCCAAGCCCCACCACTAAGTAACAGTCCTTCTACAGTGACCGATTCCTACACATTGACATGTAGCTTTTATAGTACAACAGTGTGCCTGAATGTGTCATTTCAGAGGAAGTCTGCACCCTGGTCATTACAGAAGCTTTTCCTGAGGACTCTGGAATATTTAAATGTGTTGCTGAAAATGAATTTGGATCTGTAGCATCCAGTGCACATCTTTCTGTTTCTCCAGGTAAGCATATATGGATTTCTGAGCAGAGCAACTAAGCACAAGAGAATTAATTTGCTGCTGTTCAGTGCCAGTCATAGCCACAGATATGTAACAACCATAATTCAGACCCAAACACTTCTGTAGGCTCAAAGAGAAATGCCCCCAAAATGCTATCAGCTTGGGTGCTCCTCAAAGCTGAATGCAAGTTATTTTGCATTTCTGCTCTTGGCCCTTCCTCTTCATAGGTCAGGACGACAAGGTGCAGATGTAGATCTCTCTGACAGAGGAGTCTCGTCCCTGAGCTTCATCCATTCAGGAACCCTAGCTTAGCCCAACGTACCAGTTGTATTGACACCTTGTTTATTGTAATACACGACTTGTCTGGCTTGTGCTGTCTAAACAGAACGCACTTTGTGTGTAAGCCAAAGCTCACCAGCCCCAGTGAGGAGACAAGTTTGGCTAATGCAGCTGTGCAAGTTTTGGTTTACACAGGGCACAGGCAGGTTGAACTCCCACCCACCCGCCCAGACATACTGGCTTCACTCCCTGTAACTGCAGCGTGATGTACTGATGAACCATTACTGTTTTCTGCCTGACCTGGGGACAATTCCACTTCCAGGAGCAAAAGACCTGGAAAGCTTTGCAGGTGCTGCCCGCTTGCCAGCTGTGCAAGTCACCATGAAGAAACCCACCTTCACGAGGAACAGCCAAGCTGCAGCCAAGGATCGTGACGTGCCCAGCCTGCCGTCCTACAGCACGGACACCCCGGGGCTGGGGAATCGAGCGGAAGCCACAAACTTCAGTCAGATGAATTCAAAGAGTGAAGCTGAAGATTTTCATGGCGTTTATGAGAATTCACCTCAAGCTTCTCCTCTGCGGTAAGACAAAGAGAAAATTCACATCCCTTGGTCAGTTTTATACCACACTTAGGGAATTAACTTTCTAGTTATCTCAGCAATACAGCTGCAAAGCTCCTGTGTCCCATACCCTAACAGCTCAAACACATGGGCATGCAATAACCTGATCTGTTTGCCTGTATGACAATAGGAGCTTGCAACACCAGCCTAGCTACAGAACAGCACAGGCTCCGTTTGGCAAAGTATGTAACAATCTAAAGGCTCGGGTAGGTGGATAATGGTATTTGCAGAAATGCCTATCTGTAAGTAACTTTAAAAGCAAAGCCCCAAATAATTATCCTCTAAAAGGTCTTTGGCTCCACAGCAGAGAAAAGTGAAAGGTCACAGTACCTGGAAATTTCAAGTAACTGCTCTGTTGCCACCAAGTTCCTCTGGAGCCTTGACCAAGTGGCGTCACCTCATGTTTCCATTCACCACTGTAAAATAGCAACAAAGCTTGAGATGCTCTAAGTGTGGAGCAGACTGAACCTATAAAGTGCTCCGTAGGAGACAAGTTCTGAACCAGTAACCCACTGAATAGAAAGAAAACTGTCCTGCGTCATGGCAGGGCCATTTCCTGCTCAGGAGATGAGGATTTTCCTCAAGAAAAAACATTTCTTCTTATATCAAGACTCAAGCCAATTTCTGTCCCAAATACAGCTCTCAAGTAACTATGTACCTACGGCATTATTAGATATGTTGTTTAGCCATTCCAGAGAAACTAAACAAGTTAGAACTCACACCCAAATTTTAGCAGAGTTTTCCAGGTGTTTATTGGCATTAACGTAGACCTCAAATACCAAGAGTGGAGAGCTCCAAACTCAGCACTGCAAAGCAGCTTCTTCAGTTCTGTTTGTGAAGGGGAAGCTACGAGGCAGACGTGTGCCTCCTCTCCCAGCTGAATGCCAGTAATGCATTACAGGGGTACTGTTACATCGTGTGTAAACGTCTGGCTGTGACAGAAACCATTCTCCGTGCTATAGATTATTTCTGGATGTGTTCAGCCACTTTAAACCAGTTGTTTTAACAATTCTGGACACCCTCCTCCAAATTTACTACTGGAGAGACCATGCTGCAATACACATTTCTCTGTGCACAGGAACTTTTTACCACATTACTGAGTAAAAACAGGGTTTGCTTCAACAACCTGCAGACCCCTGTGTTGTTCATTTAGCCCCAAGCTCACCCACAAAACCCAGGCAATGCTATGGTTATGGCTTGCAGCACTGCTGGTGAGCTGTGCTTGGGTTTTCATTTTTAAAGTCCTGGTTGGTTTTTAATGCGATATGTGACATCCTGCATGAAGGGATATAACATCTCACCAAAATCAGCTTTGAAATAGCTTTGAAAAAGTGTGGTTTATATAAAATGTTACACTAGTTAACATTTTTAGTTAACACTAGTCAAAGAGCTGCAGAGTGTTTTCAGTTGGCAGCAATACTGAACCGCATTTTGGAAGGCATTTACATGCCACAAGGTACAAAGAAAAAACTATTAGACTTTCTAGAAGTATCCAGCTCTGAGCACTTAAATATTTTTGAAACACGCAGCCTTATTGTCATGTGCTTTGAAATATTGTGAATGGGACTCAACATTGTTGCTGTTAAATTAAGCTATCTTCTCTAATGATTAGCTGTTATTTTTAACTGCCTTGGTAAAAAGATTCAGCCATATAACTCTATCACATACGTGGTTGAAACTGTTACTGAAGACAAAAAGAAATACTGATGAGTACCACGATGAATGAATGCAGTCCCTGTATTCATACTTCTCCAAACTATTGCTTAGCAACGGTCACTCTACAAAAGCTGGAAAATGCAGTTGGAGAAGACTGCAGCTACTTCTTTCAAGGCTTTTGTAGCTACAGGTTACAGCATCCTTCTCAACAGCCTTAAAAAAGCAGAGCAAAACCAGCCCCTGCTAGACTCTGTACAGATTATCATCTTTATTAAAGCCAGTTAACCCAAGCAAAGAAGAGGTTTCATGCATTAAGTATACTGCCAGGTGTTTTAGGTAGTTTTTACAAATGCTTAGTAAATAAACAGAAGATTTGTAGCTTTTTCTAGACCTTCATTACTATATCACTCAAGAAACTAGGAGAACCTGATCAGATGCAGTGCGTCACTGTTCATAGAAAGGAAACTGAAGCAGTACAGAAAAGCTAACCCCTAACAGTGCTGCTCAAGGTACTATTAAGTTACCCCCAACATAAGCTATTAGATTCAGTCCTCTGCCTTTTTTTATCGCTTGAGCTTCTAGCTCTTTCAAGTTTTTTTCCTACCTTCTGGATGTCACTTTTTCCTGTTCCTTCTCATTCATACAAGTCTCCCGGTTGCGTTCAGCCTCTTGAGTGTACGAAGCTGTCCTCAAATTGATGCCTTGCAGCCAACTTCAGTTCTGAAACGAATGCACTGCACCCTCATTGAAGTCCCCGGGAAGCCAGAGAGCCTGTCTGAGCACAGAGCTTGACCTTTAGCATGCTCACAGCTTCCTACACCACAAGCGATCATGCTACACTTACTGTCTTTTATTTACTTTTTAAAGTACTCAATTCCCTCTGGACAAACTATGTGATTTTTTCTTTTTTTAATAAAAAATAAAAAGCAACAACAAACAAAATAACCTCTCCAACATCCAGGGACATGCTTCCTCCCTTAATCACTTTCATCAGGAGGAATTTAAATAAATTAGCACTCAATTAACACCTGCTGTGTAGATTTAGTTCACAAATACTGAGTTGATGTTTAAATACAAACCCTAAATGTGGATTAACTCTTGAAGACGGCTGTGCTGAAAGACTCACCAGTATGGTGAAGGGAGAAAAGAGAAAAGTTAAAGCCCACACACAGCCTGAGCTGCTGTGCTTACAGGGCTGGAGGTTTTTTAAACAATAGTGTGCATGTTAGGCAACAGTTGCTAAAGTATAATTAAGACACTTAAACACTATAATGATAATTTAAGATGTAATTAAGCACTAAAGCCTTTGATCAAAGGGATACAAATCACCTAATCTACCAGCAGGATCTGTTGTTCTGGTGAAAACAGTCTCGCTGGATATTTAATTCCAAGTTAACACACATAATGCCCACAAATAGCAATACACCATCAAATAACATCTCACCATCAAGTATACTTAATTTGTGTTATTCAGTGAAGGACTGATGCTTCAGGCTCACATCTGATTATTTCACCCCCACGAGTGATGCCACCGTTTTCGACTGTGCAAGGAGCCGTGCCCTGGGTACCGCTGCACACTACGGCCGACGGGTGCTGCTGCAGGGTTACTTCACCTGCATTCACCTCGAGCTTTCGGTATCTGCTGCCTTTAAGCCTTAAAAGCAGCACCAAGTTTTATCAATACCGGGACAATTAGCTGCTGTAGCTAACAGTTATGGGACATGGAGAAAGAAGGAGTTTCACTGAGATGCTTAACAAAGCAGGATTTGGGGTGTCTCAGCGTGTTGCAGCAGCCCTCTGCTGCTGCCTGCTACAGGCAAAAGCTGCTCTTCTGTTCAGCACCTGCAGACTTCTTCAGTTCTTTGCTTTCTCCTGCTTACTCCCAGGATGTCGCAGGGAACAAGGCTGACCCTCAGCAGTTTATCAGTGGGGAGAGCCGGGAGCTCCATGCCCGCTGCTGCTGCCAGCTTGGGCAACCCTGGAAAACCAGAGCCTTCAGAAACAAAGCCTCAGCTGCTGACTGCATGGAGTGGGATCAAACAAATACCTGGGCTTTGGGAACACCCATGGCTGCTCCAAGTTGTGAACCCGACAGCGAAGCCAATCATCCCACAGCAGGCATGCAGGGTTGAGCCCCACGGAGCCATCCCAGCACCAGCCCTGTAGGAGGGCCCTGTCTCACCTCCCCAAGTGAGCGGGGTCTGGGCCTCCCTCCTGGAGGGGCTCAGCTCCTCCGTGAGCCTTGGAAGCCCAGCCTGGCAGTGGGGCATGGACACAAGGACCTGGGGATGCTAGGGCATGGGGTGTAGAGATGCAAGGGCATATGGCACGGGCACAGGACACTGATGCAAGGGCATGGTGCCTCCATGCAGGCAGGTTTTACTGCTGCCCACACTACGTGATTTGCTGACCACAGGCACCTGCCAAAAAATGAGGTTCTGGCCCTTAAATGAAGTGCCCCGAGAGAGCCGAGCTGGTGGAGACTCTTATTCTGACACTGGTGTAGCAGGAGGACAGGCAGGTCCAGCGGTGTCATTTGTTGGCAGCACATTAAAGTCTCTGGTCTTATAATGCTACGCAGAGGGCTACTATGACAGTCTGTGTCAGTGAATGACGGCCCCTTCCCAAAATACTGGTTAAAGCCCAGGTGACAACCTCTAGGCTGTAGGTAAGGTCCTTTTTTTTTCCATCATTTTTTATTTCAAATCTGCTACTGAGCTGGCATGAGAAATTGCAATGCGATGGGTAATACTAAGATAAAAATGTACCTTTAGGGTACCGTTGGTGTAAAGACGGGAAAAATGTTTGTTTGTTTTTTACAGAAAGGAAGTGTTTCTTACTGCTCTTTGTTTTCATCTGGTAAAGTCAAAAGTTTACTGTTTGTTTTCCAATCAAGGTGGAATGATTTGAGGGAAATGCAACTTATCCCTTGCTGCGACGGGCGGATCTGTGCATCATGGGGCAGTGTTCGTTTAGTATCTTATTTTACTGCGGTATTCTAGAAAAGAAAGTGAAGGTGACTTGCTGTACAGAGCCTGTAAATGAAATGAATGAACCTGTACACAGGCAGTGATATCAAAGTGGTACAAAAACAAGATTCGACCTTTTTTTTTTGCACTAGTGAATGAGAACGTAGTTTGGATATGCTCCAAAAATTTGAGCTGGCTTCAGATTCCAAGAACACGACAAGGGGAAAACTAGGGAATTTTTACTACAAAACCTGTTTAGTTACTGTTAATTTACAACTAATATTGGCAACTACTTTTAGGAAATTAAAGCTTTAAATCCTCATAAAACAAGAGCAATGTCTTCAGCTGATCTCCCCCCAAGGAATTTCTGACCCTGTGGATCCCTTCTTTGGGCTCTCCAATGAGAGGAATACAATATACTGTGTATATATAGCAGCAAAACAGCTGATCTCAGTGGGGCAAGATTACAATTTTTTCCAGCACATGTAACTGTGTGGATTTACATTCTCATTTTTTATTAGTAGCTTTTCATTTATTTGAGGAGGAGTGGGGGCTGGTGTTTATTTATCCTAGAGCTGAAGTTAGTTGTCAGTCTCAACAAATTTAGTAAGTTTGCTTAAATGAAACATTCCCCTTCTGTAAATTGATGGGATACCAGGCTAAGATATCAATGACTTCCAAAATAAATAGAGGACCTCTGAGCTGCTTGGCGTGCCCTACTTTATTCTGTGGCTATGTCATTCTGGCAATTATTAGCCACAACAGCAAATCTCAGGAAATCTCTTTGAACAGAAAAACACTGTCCTGACATTCCAATCCGAAATCTCAATTTGATATAAGAAGTTCTGAATTCAAGAACTTAGTGATGGGTTGTTGCAACAAGCCAATTGCTATTTCTTTCAGAAATTACTGGGCTCTTGCAGATATGATAGCTATGGTGAGCACTGCAGCTGGGTCTGATGGAGTGCGTGACTTGTTCTTTTAACCTGAAACATTTGCATAGTTTTGAAATAGCTCTAATCAATCCTAAATTGTCTTATTTTAAGCTTAAGCTTTAATTGTCAACTGCCTGAACATAGAATTCTTTAGACTGCTAATGACTGCTCAAAACACGGTATTTTTGCAAGTTAAATTGTGACGTACAATTTACTTTATCTGTATTGTCTTCCTTAAGGGAAAATCCACACCAAGACAGCCTCTATTCTGCAAGGCCAGGGTTCCATTCTATCCAGGAGCCCAGTCAAGAAAGCTTTCGTGGCCTACCAGCTAGTTTTTACCCGCCACCTATCCAAAGCCAGTTATCACCAACAAAAACCCAGGACAGTCGTGAAACTTCTCCTATGAGTGCCCATAATTTCCCATCCGTTTCCTCTATGTGCCAACCAACCATGTTTAACTACGAACGTCCAAAACACTTTATCCAGTCTAAGAATGTGTGTCAAGGGCAACAGCAGCCTCCGGGACCTGCAACCTCTACAGAGCCGAGCAGACAAATCAAACAGTCCTCCATTCTAATACAGCCTCGTAACCCTAGTGGGCAGAAATTCTCCTCCTCGTCATCGCTGAGCTCTTCAATCACGCTCTCCTCGCCTTCCTGTAGTGCCCCTAAGGAATCCACATATCCCGTCACGCCTGCGTCTGCGCAGTCTCCTGCTAGCTCATCATCCGGGCAACGGCTTATATCCATGCCTAACCAACCCCCCGCAGCATTCCTGTGCTCAGTGCTACCCTCGCAGCCTGATTATAACAGCCAAACTCCTCCCGGGGAACCTCAGTAAGTATACACAGGCTGCTAACTTCCCCTCGCTTTCACCTGGCCTGGCCTGGCCTCTCCTGCACACTGACCAACCCGACCCCAACCCGGCCAGCTTGGCCGAAGCCAATGGTCCAGCTCCCATTGACTTCTGATGCGCGAGGCAGGGCTTTGCATGCGTGAAGTGAGGCAGGTTAGGAGGCTAAGTGCTTGCCTTTGGTGTCTCTGTGGGATAGATGGGTGTTAATGAGGAATTGAACTGCCCAGCAGCCACGCCACTGGCTGTTGCACATGTTTGTTGGGCTCGGTTTGAATGGTTTAGTGTGATTTGATGGGAATCACTTGTTTAACGGTATCCAGAACAGAAGATAGGCGGCCATCTCAAATGGACTTCTCTCAACACACATGCCTTGTGAACAGCGAGGAAGGCAGCAGTATGTTTCACATACAAACAGCATTAAAATTCCTAGTAAGTCTCAGCAGAATTTTCAGGCTCTACATCATGATCATGACTTCCCTACAATACAGTTTTCATTAATCATACATACTAGCAGAAAGGCAGCCACTTCAAAATTTTACCCCTTAAGACCAAAGACCAAATTCTTTCCTGAATAAGTATTGTATCATTTTGCCTTTGGGCTGCAATCCAAATACCTCCCAAGGTCAGTGAGATCTCAAAGGGAGCTGGGTCTTGCCTTCTCACCAACTTGTACTCCTGCCAACATTAGCTGGAGGTCCCAGGGAAAGTCAGTGCAGAAAATCCAGCAGAGGGTATTAGGAAGGTGATAGGGGCAGGGGGCTCATGCTGACCTGGGTATAAATACAGGTTTAAGTGCCAGTTTGTATTCAGGAAACCTGAATGTTTCTGGACTGGTCTCTTTCTGGTTTTTGGGTGTTTTCTCAGAGCACAGCACTGTGGGAAGGTAAGACCAAGTGGGCTAGCTGAGACACTGAGAAGTGCTTTTTAGAAGTCCTGCAGGAGTCCTTGTGGGTTAGGTATGCATCTGGAGTAACTGCTGGGATTTGTGTATGTGGGGGGAGGTTGTTTTCATAGCAAAGGTTGTTTTCATAGCAAGACTTGATCATCTCTTGACTACGGATTACAGGAGCAGGTTATGTGGGGATTGTAGCACGGGCACCTAAAGACCCCAGTGGGATAAGCGTAGGTATTGAACATCTGAACAGAAATGCCTTCTGGGGCCCTGAAGAAGAAGATAGTAAATCATTTGTTCACACATAATGAACTTGTTTGTGACCCTGCTGTGGATTTGCAGCACCAAGAGCTTTTTTAGCAATTGAAATTGCACAGGAGTGCAGTTCTCAAGGGAGAACTCTCTCCTGGAAAGACTCTCCAAGCTCAATGGAGCTCTCAAAACACTGCTAGCCCAGCTGCATGCATTCAAACCAGGACAGAGGCCACTGCAAGATTTAGGAATGCTGAATGGTGACCCACAGCAAGCTACTGTGACAGTGCACAGTGCTATGGGATGACACTGAATGACTTGATTTGATAATGATGCTTCCCCTTAAGCTTTTCATCCTCAGTCATGCCACCTAGCCTATCTCCCAAATTCTTTACAAATTCCTTTGAACCACGGTTTCTAGGTAGCAGTTTCACATTTTTGTGTCTATAGTGAACAGCCAAGCGAGCCTACAGGAATAACTTTGTTTTCTCTCCCTGCATGAGTAGTTACTCAAAGCCAATGTATAACAAACAAGCTAGCATCAACTCTATGCAGAAGACATCTGACCAAGAAATTCGAGGAACAAAAGAGGCCCTCATCCAGGACTTGGAAAAGAAACTCCGATGCAAAGACAACCTCCTCCAGAACGGCAACCAGGTAAGGGAAAGCTGCTGATTACGGAACCAGTTTGCTCTGCCCAGGTTTCACCCTGAATTCTAATCCTGGGGTTGATAAGCCACTGAAATTATTAGAAACTCAGAGAAATACCGATACTTAAAAGCTTATTCTAGAGAGTACTACCACATGTGGTACACCTCTTTGATTTCTTTTTATATGAACAATAACCAATCAAAGAAAACATGTGACCTTTTATGATAAAGTCTGTGAGATATAAGAGGGTTTTATACTCAGTGCCTATCTATTCATTCTGTGAAGGGACAAAATACAATCTTCATTATCAAGAAATCCGAACCTTGGAGACAAATATTGCTTACCAGTTGGGAAGCACATTACAACAAGCTGGAGTAAGCAGGTCTTTAATGCAAGTTGCAACCTTCCTGCTGGTTGGAGCCAGACTAGTAAAATCCCAGTGTTTATGGTTCCAATCTTCTTTTCCCTGAAATAGAAATGAGTTTTGCCATTACTGTCAGTGGAAAAAGGCTTGTATCATATACATATATATAGTCGTAAACATTGAAGGAAAAATAATGTCAGGTCAAATATGAGTTAACGTGTCCCTAACAGGAATGTCCTATCTGCTGTAAGAAAGTTTGCCATTGCAAGCCAGCCTTTCTTCCCATAGGAAGCCAGACTAAAAATAAGGCTTATGCAATCACCCCTGTGTGCCCTCCTCCCCTTGTCCTCCAACAACGTCTGAACCAACTGGCCACACTTCAGCCACACTTAATCTCAGCAGTAATGATCTCTGGGATATTATGCTCTCGCAGGTTTTGCAAAAGGTCTGTCTTGCTCTCTTCTAAGGAAAAGTCCCCCAGGCCTTCTCAAATTCTTATCTACACAGGAGTAATCACGTATATGTCCTGTACATGAGATAAATTTATTCAGTTTGTCCTCACCTCACAAATCCAACATAAAACTTGTGGGAAGCCAAGAACTTGATAAACTTGTGGGAAGCCAAGTTTCAGGTGTTTTGGTGCTTGTAGGAATAACACATGGGAGTAGAGGGACAGTAGCATCTAGCCTCTAGCTCCTGAAGTAAATCCACAGCTGAATGACTTGGGAAGTTTTCCCAGTGCTAACAGAAAGGTACCCTGGGACTTACTCTGGCTTCCGAGATAATGCCATCAGTTACCCATAAATAATCCCAGCGCAGAAAAAAAAGAGGCGTGGAAGGCCACAGATGGCATTAGAGAGGCTTTGATGAACAGGCAGTTTAATCTTTTATGCATTTCAGTGCTGTATATATTGAGGCTGACTTCAGTAGGCATCACGGACTGCAAACCCACTAGAACAGAAGTAGTGTTTCTGTTCAGCCACTGCTTTCACTGACGACACCCTGACTTTGTGGCATATTAATGCACTTTTACGAGATGAACTGAAATAGTAAATGGACTTACGACAAGAATTCCTCTCTGCTCTGCTTTTAGCGATTAACTTATGAAGAAAGAATGGCTCGCAGGCTGCTAGGACCAGAAAACGCTGCATCTGTGTTTGAAGCACAAAGTGAAGATATGCAGAACGCACAGGTAAGCGGGGCCTCTCTCTAGAGCAGTAATTCCCTGGTGGTGGTGCTGTGAACTGCTTACACTTAACAAGGATGGATGGGGAGATGGTGTTTTCCTGGTACCAGTGCAGGAGAGGGCAGGGAAGAGCTTTTGCTAGCAGATCTCTGTACAGTTGGGATTTGGGTTTGGGGGAGATGGTGGTGGAGGGGGGGCGGTTTAAGCACCGAATGCTGGCAGTACTTCCACCATCCCCTTGCTGGGCCTGATCTGTAGGAATGACCTCTCTAGGGAGGAATTGCAACAGCTGCTACCCAGCCTCAGCACTCTGCCTGTGACAGGCAGGGAGAAGCACAGCGAGGGATCCAGGTACCCACTCTAATAGGCTGAGTTCTGCCTTGGCCAGGACAGCAAGACTTACACCTGTCACTGTTTGGAGTCAGTGACATTGACTGCAGGAGGTCAGCGCTGTGGGGTGGGATTGGTTGGGTTTTATCCCTTCCAGAAGCTTGCAATCGTTAACAGAAGACAAAGCAGTTATTTTAGCAGCCCACATGCTGATAGCCAAGAATCTATTACTACTGGCATGTTCAAAAACATTTTAGTCGGGGACTTGCATCATTCATTGGTTATTCAGAACAGGCCAGTTAAAAGCTCTCTCTGGCACTTCTTTGATCAAAGTTGCTGGAAATATCTGTGATGTGGCACTGGACACCTGTGCTGCCAAAGAAAACATCCCTCCTGCTGCATGCATGCAGAGAGCCAGCAGGCTGGCATTCATCTTTCCAAATGCAGTTAGCAAAACTCTTCAATGCAAGAGACACTTAAGATCACAGCAAGGGTGGAATACACAGTTTGAGCTATTTCTCCCCAGCAATCACCTGACAAAAGCAGACAAGAAAGGAACATGATGGATGCCAGAGAGGAAGAGAGACCTCATTTTATTTTGCATAAAAATGCTCCATATGAAATGGAAGGAGAAATTGGCTTATGTTTAGATATATTTTTTTTTTAAATTCATTATTGTATTCACTGATTCATTCAGGGAATGAAGCTGAAACTTTATTTAAAGCTAAATCTTTACTTACGTGATGCTTGCCCTGAACTGAAAGTTGATTCTGTGTTTGAAGTTTAAACCCAGGCTTAAGTGTTCCACAGGAATGGGCTACGGAGTGCAGAACCGAGCACTGTAATGGCAAACACCCCAAAAATGTCCGTGTAGCATTTCCTCTGGCCTGATTCCCTTGCTAAAACGAGTCACTGGTGATAAACTCTGCTTATATTTTTCAAATATCCAATCTTCTATCAGGAATCAGTCCTGGGTACTTTAGCAGATTTACTCATGTGATTGTGGAGCTGTCAGTAAGCTTACTTGGTGCTGTGATGTAGAAAGAAAAATATTTTCCAGCTCCGCATGTGTTCACTGCTAGTGGTACCATATTTAAGTGGGCACAATACTATGTTCTTGCCAGTGATTCCACTTCTATTCCTGCTATTGGGAAGGACATTCTGTACTTAGCTCTCATTTTAGATACTGCCAGCAGCACTGCTCCCCTCTAACAAAGGTTATTGGCTTGCCAAAGGCCCAGTGTGCCAAATGAAGCTGCTGCACCTATCACCTGTGCAGAGTGACAAGAAGCTGGTCTATTAATAGGACTTGTTGCTAGCACGGCAAAAAGTCTAGGGTGAAAAGAGAGCATGTTAGCATATGATGCAAGTTTCTTTACATCTTAACCCAGCAACTTCTAAGTATTCAGTGTGCTTTAAGGAGCAGTTTATTAACTCAAAATGGCTTCTCATTTGGTTTATAGGTTAAACTTCCTCTGTAAATTAATTCACCTTTTGTCTTCCTCTTTCCAAGCACCAGAACGCAGAGAACATCAGGCTGCAGGTTCCTACAACACATGTAAGGTAATACATAAACCTGTGCTGTGCTACTCTTCGAGACCTTATTTCAAGTATTTCTAGACAATGCTAGCATTCCTTTACTTTTCATTTTTCCAGAAGTAGTAATTACTAAACTCATTTACTTCCTTTCAACTAAAATGCTACCATTTGTGGATGGCTGCTGAAGCCTGTGGTGTTAATACAGTCAATTCTAAGCATAACACTAAATTTTGAAAGACTTGTATCTAGGGCAAAAATGTGTCATAGTCTAGAAAATATATTTCTAGTCAAAGCAAGGCCCAACAATGTAAATGATAAAACACAGCCCACGTTGTTTGGATATTAAGCCAAAGATGAGTTTTCCTATGTTATGCTTCTGTGTTAAACTGAATAACTTCAGCAAGATAAGTGGTTCATCAATACTCATGCCTTACAGCTAAAAAACGACCAGAATTGTACTGCTGGGTTCCCAGGCCTCCTGAGTGACTCAGCACTGCAGTGAGATCTGTGCTATAGTAACTTTCACACAACTGTTACTGTCCTCATTTTAGGAGCAGACCATCCTCGAGAGGAGACGAACGTGGACATGACGCAATTCAGGAAAAGTTTTTTCAGCCACGTTTCACACAAGTGCCAGAGGATGTCATTATTGAGGAGGGGCGATTCTGCAGGCTCGACTTCAAAGTAATACCAGCCTTTCCCTTTCAGTCCCCCTAGTTGTGTGGTGTGTGTGGCACTAACAGATCTGAGCTGCAGTGCCTTTGTGGCTTGATGAGCCAGAGCACTACCAGCAGGTTGCACAGGGTCTCTCCAGGCAGTGTAAAGCTGGTAACAAGATCGGTAAATGTGTCAATGTTTTCCCTTGGAAAATGTAAGTGGGATTAGTTGCATAAGAGTATGGCTAGAGCTAAGTGGTGGTAAATATGGACCACCACAGAAGTAGTCCATAGATCACTAGAGCTCAGTGCAAAGACTGAATATTAAGACCTTGTTTCAAGAAATCTTTTAGAGAAGTGACCTTGTGCTCTCCACTGGGACACCCACTGGCTTCAGTGGAATGGAAACCCGCCCAGCACAGCCTATGTAGGAGAGGGCTGCCTGCTTTTAATGAGTCTTCTATACGGCTGTAAGTGTGCCCTGGCTGGAGCAGGTATCTGGCAAGGAAATGTACTAATTACAAACAAATAGAACAGCAGAGTGGCCTGAGACTGCACAGTAACTGTGCCAACCCTAGGGTAAGAAAGTACCTGGCACTTGCACATATGCAGCTTTATTGCAAATATTGTTTTCTGATTGTGGCATGACTTGTTTTTTTTCCAATAGCATCCAAGAAGATTTCCAATCCCTTGCCTTAAATAGCCAGGCAATACCTTAACGTAACCTTTAACCATTTTGCTGCGATGTGACAGACGCGGATGTTTCTGTCTGTGATGGACAACCTAGAGCATGTATGCAAGACACAGTTTGTTTACATACTTTATCAAAATTGTACAAATTTCGGCACTGCTACAGTGCTAGCTGTGAGATTAGATAGGTGAGTTCGCTCCCTCCATGAACCCACAATGAACACCTTTGACTTAATCAAACCTATTTTATGGGATGGGAACAACAGGGGTTTGCAGGAACAGCATCCACTGTCTTGCAGCTAGAGCTCATCTCTGCACAGCACTTCACGAGCCTTCCTCTCTGCGCAGCACCACATTAATATTCAAAAATCAACTTTTTGCAGTATGACCATGACTTGATCACCTATATACCTCAATCTCTAAACAGCATTGAAGAGTTCGTATCATCTTAAAGCTTTTTAACTCTTTGCTGCTTTTCTTCCCTTCACAGGTTAGTGGGCTGCCAACCCCAGATGTGATGTGGTATCAGAATGGAAGGATGGTACATCAAGACCAGTTTCATAAAATGATCGTGTCAGAAAAGGGATTCCACTCATTTATTTTTGAAGCGGTCAAATCATCTGATGCAGGAACATACGAATGTGTGGCTGTCAACCGTGCAGGAGAAGCATCTTTTGCAGTAAAAGTGGAAGTAATTGGTAAGACAGAGAGAACTGATGATTATCAGACATGGAAAACCGCAGTCATCTAGCACCGCCTTCTGTGTGTTTGGGATATTAAAGCAATTACAAACTAGAGGCAGATCTCCAGATCTTCAGGCTCAAAGTATAACAAACCCTTTACCTTTTCCAAGACTCTTTTAATATATACATTTGGGGTGAAATATTTCTTCAAAGCTCTTGTAGTGGGGGATTTAAACTTAGTGTGATATCCAGAATTTGGGAGTTGCTCATTTCCTAGAACTGACAGCGACTCTCTTAAAATGGATTGTCTACTACACCCCTATGCACATAGGAATGAATTACCCGTAGGCTAAGAAGTTGCTGTAGGGAATGTGTCCTCCTAAATTTAGCATTCTGAAATCTTAAAAAAAAAAAAAAAAAAAAAAAAAAGCCTGATAATAATGTTCAATACTTACAGTAACTCCTCCTCTTTCCTCTTTAATTTAGCAAAAGAACATCACACACCTCCAACTTTCATCTTCAAGCCACAGAGCAAAAAGGTTTTTGAAGGAGATACAGCCAGACTCGAATGCCAGATCTCTGCCATCCCAACACCTCGGATTTACTGGAAAAGAAACAATGAAATGGTACAATATAATACAGACCGAATAAGGTATCCTACTAATGAGTTGGCTATTAGTGTGTTAGGAAAACAATAACCAGTGTTTAAGTCAAATTTGAATTAGCTGCTTAATAAAAACAGCAGCTGGGGAGCTAGATATGCCCCTCGTTTATGAGGCATGATGAACCAGCCCATGTGCTGGACAGGCATGATGCTCAGAGCATTGTTTTGAGGACAGAAAATGCTGTGACCAGATGCCACTGGATTCCAACAGCAGTTACACAGCTCAGTGAGAAGCATGGCTATGGCACCAAGAAATGCAGCGTTCATCACGCTCTGAGGTTATGGGGACTGCAGAAGGGTTGTGGTGCCACCAGAATGCTACCAAGATGTGAATTATTGGCGGCTTGTAATAAAAATGCGGTGTTTACATTTAAATAGTTAGCAGTGCCCTGCAAGAATTGTTGAGAGCTGTCACAGCTCCTCACATGTAACCAGACAATGTTTTCTCACCTTCCCCCTCCAAGCACTTACATGTGAATATCCACATTTTTTTCAGCTTGTTACATGACAACACTGGAAGGATTTGCCTCCTGATTCATAATGCAAACAAAAAAGATGCTGGTTGGTACACAGTGTCTGCTGTCAATGGAGCAGGAGTGGCTACATGCCATGCCAGACTGGAGGTTGCAAGTAAGTACCACTTTGCGGTGCTGTAACCACAACTTGGACAGCCACTTGCACCTGTATTCCAAATGGACCCTGATGGTTAACCTACCAAAGCTTGGGCTGTTGGGAGGACTTCTTTCCCAGGATAATGAGCTAAAGAAAAAGTAACTAGCCCAAGAAAATCACACATCTGTGCAATACTATGTGATGAGTCTCTTACAAATGGTTTGCATCTGCTGCCTGTCCTGCTAAAGTCTACACTTTGACAGATACCAAGGAGGGTGAATGTTGTCCTTCCCATAAATTTCCAGCTTGTCTGTTAAATTCTTCCTAAGGGTTGGCTGTTCTATGTTGCAGATAAAAACAAACAAACAAAAAAAACAATTGGGTTGCTATACCCTGGGTCTTTCCACAGTCTGGGAAGACACTGAAAGAGGCTTTTTTCTCTCTTCCAGCACATGCAAACAAGCCGGTTCCAGCCCCAAAGCAGTTACGGGTTCGACCAACTTTTAGCAAGTATTTGGCACTTAATGGCAGAGGACTGGACGTGAAACAAGCTTTCTCACCAGAAGGAGAGTTTCAGCGTTTGGCTGAGCAGTCTGGACTGTATGAAAGTGATGAACTTTAACTGGAAATGAAGAGGAAAACTCACACCTCTAAGAGACAGTTACTACATAGATGTAGTTAACCGATGGTTGCTCTGATTAGCAAAATACCTATCTACATACTTCTACTTTGACTCTTGCACATTCTGTTGTTCCCCTTTTACCTGTTAGATTTTATTTATATGTGTTGGTGAATATAGCCATTTACTGAGTATTGTATTTTAACTATACAGGCTAAGAAAGCAGGGCAATTAGATTTTACAGGTGTAGGTGGTTTTAGCTCCACCTGTGCTTGGTTACTTGCTAAAGTAGATTGGTTTGTACTGCTTCTCTAATATCACTCTTGATAATAGCAGAACTCTGTAACGTCTGAATACTAAAACCAAATGGCCTAGAGTGTTTTTATGAGGACTGCATAGAGGCAAATAAAACTTTAAATATCCACCATGGGCTATGACTCTTCCTTGATCTGTTAAAATGCAGCTACAGCTGCCTGGCACCACATCCAGCCCAGCAAAGCCCAGTTCTTACCCTCCTGGCTCTGTGGGGGTTCCTCCTGTTCCTCTTGCCTCCCCATTCCCCAATTCCTTGTCTTCTGCCTCCTCAGAACTACTGCAGCTCTCAGCCCTGAACCATGGCAGTGAGGCATCACCAAGAGTTTTCCTTCTTGCATGCTTGATGCAGAAGCTGCACTATAAAACACAGCACTGAGGCAGCCACAACTTCCCTCCTTCTAATAAAGGAGCGACTGGGCCTTATCTCCACTGACTCTCAACAAGACAGTGATTTGACTAACTCAATTTCTATGCTGTTATTCACAGCCATCTTGCTCAAAAAAACCCAAAACCATCCAAAATCCTCATTTTTGCCAAATTCCAGCAACCTAACCTGAAGCTTTTTCAGCCCTGATCTCTAAAGACAGATGGGTGAAGACAAATCCAGCCTGAACCTGACCTGTTGGGGTGCACAGTACCCCTGCAGCTAGCCAGCTCCCCTCAGAGCACTGTAAGGACAAAATGAGGTCTCGGCTTCTCACCCCACCGCTGTGCTGCTCCATAACCCCACACCCCTCAGCTGCCCGGCTCCCACCACCACCCTGCTCCTCCAGCTGGGCTGCCAAAGCAGCAGTAGCTGCTGTAACAACACTCTTTGTGGCTCTGACCTCAGCCAACACCGATTTACACCCGTGTGGGCTTCTCCCGGAGGCAAAAACACCTCAGCGCTGAGGTCAGGGCGCGGTGCCACAGCCCGACACCACCACCCCCAGCCCGCAACCGCCGCTCGGCGCCCGTCGCCATGGCCACAGCCCGCGTTCCTGACGCTGCTGAGGGGCAGAAGGGAAAACCGAGGAGGCGGCCGGGCGCTCAGCTCTCAGGCAGCCCCGCCGCCGGGACAAGCGGGGCTCAGCGGGAGCCGCCGCCCGTTGCGGTTCCAGCGAGAGGAGCGAGCCCCGGCAGCGGCCCCGGTGCGGCCCGGCCGCCATGGAGGCGGCGGCGGCGGAGCAGAGGCTGAGCGGCGCCGGTGCGTGAGGCGGCCGCGGGGCTGCTACCGGCGGCTGCGGCCTCTGGGGTTTAAAGCTCAGCTTCTGCCCTCGCCCTTTTTTTCCCCCTCTCCCCCCCGTTAGGTGTCACAAAACCCCGGCTCAGCTACAGCAGAGAACTAGAGCTGAAAACGACGCTGCGGGAGCTGATTGTCTACATCATTTTCCTTTTCACGCTGTGTCTAGGTAAGGCAGCAGGGGAAGGGGGAACCGCGCCAGGTTACGAGCAATTAATTTGAAGCCTGGCACTTGAGGAGCCGTCCCTCTTCCAGTATGCAAGAGCAGGCGAGGAGAGAGGAGTCATTTAATCCTTAACTCCACCTGTCTGCCAGCCAGAAGCGTTATTTCAGTCAAAATCGCCCCGAGTGTGTTTTCCTAGCAGCATGACTGGTGCTGATGATTGAAGAGGGAGCAGCATGTTTAGAAGCTGAGGTCAACCTCTTTTTTTTCCATCCGTGAGCATCCCCGTTTTGCCCTTTCTTCCTAGTGGCATTTGGGATGGTGAGCACCAAGATGTTTCACTTGAACGCAGTGATGTCACGTCTCTTTCTGGAAGAGTCTTCTGATGAAGGGATTAATTTCAACAGTATTAGGAACGTGGATGATTTCTGGAAAGTAAGGCTTTCTGTGCAAATATTTTCTTACATACAGCAACCAGGTAAAGAAGCTCCTAGTGTTAATACAGAGCAATAGAGGCTCCTGGCCCACCCAAAATCCCTGTGCTAGATGGTGCAGCTTCAGCTGAAGCAAGATAAATAACTTCTTAAAATGTAGAAATTCGGAGTACAAACTGTGATGTTTGTACCTCTGATAAACAGTCTGAATAGGCGGTTAAGGAAAACAATAGGTTAACTGCAGCATCACACTCTGATTGTTAGTTTCAACAAAAAGATTTGGGGTTTACAGTTATTCTGATTTTCAGCTGTTTAAAAAAAAGTTAAACCGTTCTTGGTGTGATTTTCACTGGAGGCACCAGGAGAACATGCTGTCTTGGTTCACCTAGTTTGCTATTACATCACATCTTATTGTGGTGATCGTTGCAAAACAGGTACCTCTGTTTTCACTACTAGATGAAGAACCTCCCAATATTGGCATCACTGCCCAGCTGACATCCAAAGGGAAAGTTTTTCATCCTACCCTTCCTTAAAAGTGGAAATGCCCGGCTATCACAATTCATTGGGAATAACTGTACTCCCTCTTATCGTGTCTGTTATTGTTAGTCCATAAAACAGTGAGCCCTTGCTATACAATTGTATGCTGATGTACTAACAGCAGTTGTAATACATGTTCCAAACCGTGGGGGCATGTTTTGCCCTCTGGATAATGTTTTTCTCAAATTCAGTGTGCTTTAGCTGCATCTAAGAAACATGCAGAATAAGTTTTCAAAGAGCTTCAAAAATAAATACTTTCTTTAGGTTCAGATGACGAAAAGCCTAGTCAGAAATGCATATTTCAAAACAGATCTTCAGAGAGCAAGATTATGTTAAAACAACATGCAATATGTTTGTGTTTAAACGTGTTTAAAACTCATTTAATGATACTCCAAACAACTGTATGTCGTAATTTTGCCCTGAGCAAACCCATTACGCATCTCTGATAGAATACAATGTTCACCTATACACTGCCTCACTCAATTGAGATATTGACATCTTTTTCGTATGAATCCATTCTACTCCCTGTGGAATTCTATCTTAAATTCCATACCCATAAGTAACCTGGCAACCCTGTACAGATTTGTCTTTTAAAAAGCAGGGTAATAGTGATATATAAATCTTTAACCTTGCTTGTATATATAGTTTGCAGAGGGACCCCTCTTGGATGGACTCAGCTGGGACAAATGGTATGGCAACGTGACATCAGACCTCCAGGAAAACAGAAGCCATATTTACTATGAGAATTTATTGTTAGGAGTAGCCCAGGTTCGCCAGCTGAAAGTACACAATAAAACCTGTTCCTCCTACCCACGCTTCCAGAATTTCACAAAAGACTGTTACCCCTCGTACCGTTATAATGCAGAAGACAAGTCTGACTTTGGTCTAAAGAACGGATCTGAGTAAGTCATCCTACTTCAGATTTTCTTGTGGCATCTTTTGGATATATATTTATAAGAGATTTTCAGATCTGAAATACTTTCAGTTGGAACCAGACAGCAAGCACAAAAGTGTTTTTGAAAATCTTACTAAATCCTTAATACCTTTATTCTTCAGTAACTTACAATTGTGCATGCCGTGAGTTGAGTTTTTCCCTTGTTTACAGTGAGATAAACCATAGATTTGTTTTTATGCCAATACTATAGACAGAAATTTGGCATGGGAAATTTATAGCGGAGAGACAGGAAGAACTGGAAATGGCGAGCCCAGTTCAGCAGAAGTACATGTTAATGGTTCTATTGCCATTAATATCTCCAGAGAAATGCTCACTTATATGAAGCCTTGATTTAAATCACATGTTTATAAATTAGAATCATGCTAAAGTGTTGTGGAAACAGAGCCAAAAGGCCTGTTTCACACATTTCATTTAGCATTGATTTAACCCAATGGGAGAATATATGAACATGCCACAGTAACAATGAAGTACAAAAACCAGAGACATTCTTTTTACCTATGAAGGTTTTGAGGTAATTAAACTGTCTAGCCCACATTGGGTGAAATCCAGAATCATAACCACTTGCTTTTTTTGTGAATGTACTTGGTAGGTAAAGAAACGAGAATATTTTAAAGTCATAAGTCTCATGCTTACTTGTAAATAAAAGTATTATTTAAAGGTCTGACTTAAATGGTCAATTGCAGATGCAGTGGAACGCAAGAACTAACAAGTATAAAATAAAAAGTGAAAGCTTACTTCCGTACAGTTTTCATAGGCTAGCTGCTTTCTTTTCCTGTTTCTCATAGATGGAAATATACTTCTGCCACTTCTTTATCCCCATGGTACTGGGGAGAGGTAGGCTTTTACAGGAGTGGAGGATTTATATTCACCTTGCTGAAATCAAAAGAGAAGAGCAGAGAGAAGTTGGAATTTCTCAGGAAGAATGGTTGGCTCACTAGAGGAACCAGGGTTGTATTTATTGACTTCTCAACATATAATGCTAACCTAAACCTTTTCTGTATAATCAGGTGAGTTCTTACCTTTACTATGTGTCAAATCCAATTTACTAAGGCATGATGCTCCCTGAAAGACACAAGGAAAGGCTGTTTGCCTCAGGCATACGCAGTCATGTTTCTCAGGCAGTAGCTGGCAAGACCGTAGTAATTCATTAAAAAAAAAAAAATGCAGAAATTCAGTTAGAGCAGGGAACAGACCTAGTTCCTTCATTTCCAGTTTTTTAAATGGTTGGTGTCTGTACAACTGGTTGATACTGTCAGTAGGAATGGATTCCATAGGCTTTTGCAAAGTCAAAATCTAGATTACTCATACTGTTGTCAGCTACTGGAGGGAAGACGCTCAGGGTGGGGTGAATATATGCCCTCCTGAGACAGTTTCTTTTAAGACTTAACCAAACAGCAGAGTTTGGGTGTTTGCTTAATAGATCTGTTGTCCGCACCCTTCACTTCCTTGTAATACTGTTTTCATGGGGAAGTGAGCATCACCTTTAAAAGAAGATCTTGCAGATGCAGGAGTCATCCAGTTCTCATTTTTTGCACAAATGTTCGGCCCAACTACAGTCCCAGTTACGTATTATTACGGAAATAACAATTAATGTTAGACTAGTAAGGGCTGAGACAATTTAAAGGTAACTGATATAATTTAAGGGTAATAGTAACTAACGCCAGTCCCCAATTTTTTCCAGGTTGGTGGTAGAGTTCCCTGCCACTGGGGGTGTTCTCACCTCCTCGCGTATCTACTCTGTGAAGCTCCTCAGATACGTCTCGTTTTATGATTACTTCTTGGCTTCTTGTGAAATCGCCTTCTGCGTCTTTATCATTACATTCATAATCCAAGAACTGATAGAAATAAAAAACCTGAAAATGGAGTATTTCAAAAGTGTCTGGAACTGGCTGGATTTGCTGCTGGTAGCGGTGAGCTGCTCCTTGATTCTTCTGTGCTTGCCAGCGTAGGTTGGCACTGGGTAGACACCCATCGAGCCAAAACAGCCCGACCCAATTCCTGGTTAGAGTCACTCACTGAAGAGGCCCATCGTGGCTCAGCACACCTCAGCTCTTTCCTAACCTTACCGTCAAGGTGCTGTGGCTCCACGTCCTTTCCACTCTTTATCCACCTTGTTTGTTTTAGCTGTAATCTTGGCACAGCTGGGCAGCACTAGCACACAACTGTTAGCACAGTAAAATGAGAATGTATGCAGTATGTTATATAGTACAAACCCACCATTGCCACAGTACAAGTACAAATAAATTGGCCAGTAAGGTCTCGTATGTACAGTTTATGACCCAATATCTAAAAAGTTCTTCAAATCTCACCAAGGGCCTGCTGAAATCAATGCAGTCTTAACTGTGCAAAATAAGTCTGAAGAGAAGGGGGTAGCTGGACTTCAGTTTCACTGTCTTCTGCTTTCCTTCAGGTATCCATCCTTGCCATTGGCTTCAATATCTACCGCACCATGGCAGTGTTCCTGCTTATGGAAAATTTGTTGTCTCCTGAGAATGTTTATCCAGACTTCTATTTCCTTGCTTTCTGGCAAATCCTTCATGACAACATGATTGCCATCTGTGTCTTCTTTGCTTTTATGAAGGTATTGGCTCTTACTCCCTTTCTTGTACTCGAGAACTGTAGTGTTTCTAAGCTTATTATAAACATTCATTTTTACCTTGTTCCAAATGAACTGCAAAGGTGGGGCTAGAATGGGGAATTTTGTTTATAAGATTCCAGAAGTGTTTAAAATTATCTCATTCTCATAAACATGGGTCACACAGATTCCAAGCCCATCTAAAAAAAAATTTTGCACATAGGCAGCTGTCTCCACTGGAGCAGCTGGGACACAACCATAGCCAAACAGCCTCCTTAAGCTCAGACTTTTCCTAGACTCAGTATTATCCAGGTCACAGCCTGACCTATACAAATGGCACGGCTGTAACAGGTGAAGCTATTCATAGTTTTCATAGCTAGAAACTATGAAAACAGTAGCTGTTTTAAAACTGTTTGTGAAACCAAAACGTATCTGAAATTGATTCAGAAATGCCTTTTGGCCAGGACACCTTTAATTTCCTTTTTATTTGCAAGTGGATTTGCTGATCTCCAGAATAGCAAACCTCCCCAAGGTTACAGGCTACTTTTACTCCTAACCAGGTGCTCTGGGACTAAACCAATCCTGTATCGTTGCATCCAGTGCCCCTACGATACCAAACCCCGGTGGCCATGACTGAGGCCATCTTTTCACCTGTGCCCAGCACACATCAGTGACTTTAGTTTGGTTGGCCTCAGCATTCCCAGGGACTGGCTGAAACTTCCCAAAACTTTGCCTGATCTCAGTCTGCTTACAGGCCACCTCTCCAAAGGTATTTATTTGTAAAGCAGCCAGCACAACGTGGCTGCAGAACAGGAAGGGGAGGTGGTCATGTCTGGCAGAAGAGATCACGCCTTACACTCATGCTCCATACAATTCAAGTTCTTGAACGTACTCCATGGGGCTTTCTGGGTTGTGTCATTTGAAAATAACAGGCTTTTGGCCTTCCTCCACCTCCCAGGCCAAGGCTGCATGAAGCAGCTGTTTGGGAGCCCTGGCTGTTAACTGGCTGCATGGAGTCTCCCTCATGACATCCTTTCTGTACTCCAGCTGCACATTGCCCCGCGTTATCCTCCCAACAAACTCATTACTGTCAATTTGGTAGCACGACTGTGCTTACAATTAACAGCTGCCATTGGACAAGCCCCGTGTTCAGGCCTTGTTCAGGCACAGAGTAGTAGAGCTCCTTACCAACTCAGCTCAGCAGGGAATCCTCAGGTGCAGGAGGGTGGCGTGCCTTCAAGTCTCCTTGCCCAGGGCTCCGCTTCTGCCAGAGCTGACTACTCCTGCCAGCACCCATCAAAGACCTGGCCGTGCACTATCAGCTTTAGCATGTACACCCTGAAGAATATGCCTCTTCTCCAGAAACACACCCAATCCTTCATACTCTGTGTAGATGCATTCATTAACATCTGGTATGCAATTTATTTCCAAGTAAAACTTAACCTATAAATTAGGATTACAGGTAACATTCCAGAAGTTCTGTTAAGAAGATGCGATACATTCTGACACTACTCTCCCCCCCCCAGTAAAATGTGGTCTGTTCTCTTGCAGATATTTAAATTTGTAAACTTTAACAAGACTATGACACAGCTATCCTCCACTTTATCTCGCTGTGCCAGTAACATCTGCGGATTTGCTGTCATGTTCTTCATCATTTTCTTCGCCTACGCAGTGTTCGGCTATCTGGTCTTCGGGCCACATGTTGAAGACTTTTCTACTTTTCCAAACTGCATGTATGCAATTTTCTGAACTTTTTAATGCAAAATCCTCAGCTAGTGCAGGTACAAACAGTTTCTGCTAAGCGGAACTTTTAAGAGTACAGGTCTCCAACTCTTAAGTCTATTTTATTGAGTAAAACCAATTTTGTTGGCCCTACAACCTGCTTCCCAAAGACATCATACGTCCTAAAGAGACTACAAATACACTACATGGGTCAGAGAAGTGTAATAAAGAGAAACTTGGGAGCAGTTCACCCAACAGTGACAGGAGACTGTCCCCACAGCTCTCAAAACAAATTTGCAGTGTGTGAGCAGGCCCCTGGGCAGGCAGGCAGCAGGCCTGGCAACAGACTGTCTTGTTTTGCCTCTTTCAAAGCAGGGACTTGAAATTACCCAGCAGATGTGCCACTGGGTATGTGGTACAGTCCCCAGCATGAAAACCACATTAAGAAATGCTTCAGAGACCCAAGGGCTCAGAGCACAAGCTGAGCATGTTCAGAAACTGGAATCACAGCTCTTTCAAGAAACCATCCAGCTGCACGGCTGGGAGTCCCTTAATCCCATGCACTGGCTCTGTGGCTTTCTTCCCCAATTTTTTTTTCAGCCACTCACCATAGCAACAACATCAGATCAATTCCAGGTGCCAGCTGGAGCTGATTATGATGGTCCTTGCACCTTGTAGCAACCTTAACCTGTAATCCAGGGTGCACTGTGTTTCAGCCGACAGCCACATTCCTCAGAGAACTTTAGAGGGGTATCTTCAATGTACCGGATTGTTTGAAAGCAGCTTTTTCATATATAATTAAGGCACTTCTAAAGCCATAAAATAGCTCATTCTGAATCCACTCAAATGTAGAACAGTCCTCAGATGCTGCAGTACGAAGGAATAAATAAATAAATGTCTTACCTTAGAATTAAATTCCCTATAGGGGGTCACAGGGGCCTATGCCACTACCTTCTATACTAACAGAAGATAAGGGATCCTACAACAGAAAGGAAATCTTTTAAAAAAATTGTAATACCAAGTGGTTTATGCAAAATGAAAGTATTTCCTCATAACAAGACATTTTAAAATTCCTTTGCACTTTGAAGTTCTGAAGTATATGCTAAATGCCCAATTTATCACTGCAGTGTAATGCTGGCTTCCTTTTTGATTGCAGCGACTACAGTAATGGCAAATCAATCTCAATTACATCTGATTGATCTTGGGTTTTGTTTGTTTGTTTGTTTAAATAATGCTTAAAATACTTTAAGAGAAGCCAGTCAACCTCAGTCTCATGCTTTTTTTTTTTTTTTTTCTCCCAGCTTTTCACAGTTCCGTATTTTGCTGGGAGATTTTAATTTCCTAACCATAGAAGTAAACAGGATCCTTGGACCTCTTTACTTCATCTCATTTGTATTCTTTGTGTTCTTCATATTGGTGGTAAGCAAAAACACTCTCTTTTGTATAAGCAGCAGGGAAGAACTACTAGGTTCTGTTGCGTAGCACTCTGAGGCAGTCTTTTCCACCCAAAGATGACACTGGGGCCTTTAACAGCAGGCTCACCTCTGTCTGCCCATCACTACACCTGGGCAGAAAGTCTGACCTCCTTTGCAGAAGTTCCCAGCTAGCAACACTTTCACAGCTCTACCTTCCTCCAAAGAGCCACAAAAGGGGCTTTTGCACCATGGAACGAGGATGTTGGCACCTTTCACTATACTGCACCATCAATTTCTTGAGATTTTCATTTCTGAAAACTTCATTGAGAGCTCTTAAAAACTGCATGATTTCAGCCTTGTCCAGTGGGAAGGTTAAAGAGGGACTTTGGTGGCACGCTGTAATTGCAAGTTTTCTCAGTTCACCGATCAGTTTGATCAGTGCTTTCATTAGTTAGTTCTGATTGTAAAGCCATCTGAAAAAGGTGCAATATAATACAAAGAAAGCTGTCACTTCCAAGGAACTGGGGCCTTTAGCTGATACTAAACATAGGAAATAAGAGAGGAATCTCCCAAAATAGCCCCTAAAGCCCCAAGATTCTCAGAGAATTTAAATGCATTAGAAGTATGCCTCCACCCAGCAAAGCTCCTCCAGTCCCATTAGTTCCATGCCTTAGCGTTGAACAGCCCCCAAAACAAGACCAGCATAATGAACAGTTTCCAGAAAAAATGCCTAACTGCCTCCTTCCTGTGCAGAACATGTTTTTGGCTATTATAAACGACACCTATACAGAAGTCAAAGCAGATTTTGCAGAGATACCCAGTCAAGAAATCCACATCAAAGACCTCGTCAGACAGGTAAGTAAATGCTTCTGTAACTACCTCATTTAAATAAATATTAGAGGAGGAATTCTATGCTACCTCAGTAGCGAAGAACCTTAAACAGCTGAGCCATAACCCTTTAAGCATACCCAATGGTTGATATTGTACTTTCAGCAAATAATTGACAGATATAACCTTCCATCAAACCCACAGGAGCTCTTAATGATTATTTTTGATACAAGTAACATACAAATTAGGGTGCAAAGAGCCTACCTTTACTTCACCCTTTCAAAAACAGTCTTTAAGACCAGCCCGGTTTGTGGTATTTCATGAGACCAACTTTCTTCAGAGCTTACTGTTGCTGTTCTTCCCAACAGAGAAACTAAAGATCTTCTCTGCATGCAGGTTTAGGGATATTGCCAAGCGTAACTGAAGCAAAGGGGCCCCACACCAAAAGCACTTGTAAGGGTATAAATCTTAACGGACAAGCAACGAGGCCCGTCTGTGCTGGTGTAACTAGATGAGAGAAGAAGAGCAGGGAAAGGGAATTATGATGCTTCTCGAGTCAGGGCAGTCAAATGCAGTCAGTTAAAAAGCACAGAAAGCTTTGAAATAAGCTGCTAAGACAGACTGGGAAGACAAATAGAAATATGTACCTTTAAAAACCCACAGTTAGGCCATTTTTATGTGCCAGAAAGGAGCACAAAAGGGAAACATATCTTTCCCAACTTTTCAGTCCAACCTGAAACTGTGACCTCCCTTCCTGCTAAAGGGGCTGCATACAGTTCTGTTGCTGGGACAAGTCAGTACCTCCACCTAAAAACCAGCCTTTAACTGGGAAATGCAGCATCACCAGTAAGACTGAAATACATGCTGGATGAAAAACCTACCCCTTCAGGCCATGTTTCTCCAGGCTGGCTGACATCGGTCACTCTGTAGAGGAAGGCTGGCAGCGTTGTCTACTTGAAATTTTCCTGCAGGATTTTACACACGTTGTGGACGCAAATTACTTTGCTTCTGCAAAGCACAGCCTTTCATACAGCCAGTCCCATCAGCAACAGCACAACGTAGTTTCCTCCACCCAAACTTATTCCCCTACTAATCCTGGTCTAAGTTAAGATTAAATTGTACATACTGGAAAATCAAAACCCTTATCGGATTTGGGTGGATATTACCTTCAAGGATTTCATGACAAACTTGAGATATAGCAGATAAGTTTCCCTGAGCTAAGGGAACCAAGCAAGCGGTAAGGATGGTGGGGTTTCTTTTTGATTGCCAAGGCACCCCACGTGTGTTTTGTTCCTTGTGTTCAAGTCCTTGCATGGAGGTGTCTGGTTAAATACAAGGCAATTAACACGCTCAACATTCTGTCTCTGTTCAGAGTTGCAATAAAACCCTTGTGAAGCTCAGACTGAAGAAACCAGAGGTGGAGGACCTGCAAAGGTAGGATCTCAACCCAGACTTCAGCATTTACTCCCTGGACCTAGAACAGACCTATTCTCACACGACTTCTGTCTCTTCTCATTTGTGTGAATGAGAAGCAAGGAATTTTCATCCACTGAAAGAAAGGATATTTCCAAGCCTTCCAAAAGAAACAGTGGTAATGAAAAGGTAGGCTTTATTTTTTCCTATACTCTTACAAACTGGATATATTTCAAAAGCTGATTAATGCCAAAGGAGTCATAGTTGTCCCCACTGTTACTTATAAAACCTATTTCTCTACAGAAAACTTTTTAACATGATAGGAATAACAAAAGCTAGAGCTGTAAATAAATAAAAATTGTTAGCTATGCCCCAAGCTTTAAATGAAAGCTTGTTTGGGCTCTGTTCAGACAAGGTCATGAAATACAAGAGCAGAGCTGGCAGTAGTTCCAGGCCAGTGTCTTAGCAAAGTGCTATGAAGTTGTGAGCTGGGCATTTGCCCAAACGTTAAACTAAAACAGATGTATAGAAAAAGACGTATTTTAGAGCAGTTTGTCAGGTCATAGCCTGCATTTGCAGCAAGAATCACTGTAGCTTCCACTTGCTTTACAAAAAGGTTTCCAACAGTCCTTGGTAGACCCATATCCAGGGTAAAGCCAGTGCAAGCACTTCTAAAACATCTTAAAAAGGAAAAAAAAAAAAAAAAAAAAAAGTCTCCAAGAAAGGGGAAGTCCAACAGCTAGCTGTAAACACTGCTCCAAATAATGCTTGTGGTCTCTCACTTCTGAAAAGATGTGTATTCTTACATCCTGTCTTTTTCAAAGAGCCAGAATGAAAATTACTTTCAGATGGAGAGAGAACATTTTTCTCCCCACAAATGCATACATCTTTTCCTGCTCATGCATGCTCCCTCCCTGCATAAGTGACATGCTGATATGCTAACAGGTACCCAAGTAAACAGTGTTGGCTTTTTCTAATGTTTTTTTAATCACTCTGGTGTGGAATAGAAGTCGAGGTTACGGAAAGGGAGAAAGCATCATCTCAGGATTCCACCTGACAACACTGAACCAGGCGCTGCTTCTCAGAGCTCTGTCTCCCGTGCAGAATTTCAGCAGTAAGTGTTTGGGAGAGCCTGTTCTTTGAAGTCTTATTCCCATCCCTAGGCAGTCGCAGCAGCCCTGACTTCAATTAGCTAAAACCCTCACAGAGTGGCAACTTGAGAGACACAAGATCAACACAAAGTCAGTGATCTTAAGATGCTATTTTAAGTGCTCTTATACTGGCTGACAACAGCTGCCCTCAGAGAGGGAAGAAGATAGAGACAGAAGGACAATCAGTAGAACAGTTTGTAAGAACATTAGTCAAGAATGAGGTGGGAAGAGAATTTAAAATATTACCGCTCTTCCAGGACATCTCTTTATGGCCACCCAGAGAGGGTGGACAAAGACTGTTAAGACTTGCGCTTGTGGTGGGGTATTTCAGGACTGTTTGCAGCTGACACAATGCAAGTAAGCAAACAGGAAGGTTACAAATACAAGTTCAAGAGGAGCCCAACTCAAGGATTTGTTGCTGTATTTGTGTCCTAGGCTCCTTGGATATACAGCTGAGTTGGAAGAGGAATTAAACAATGTTAATGCAAAACTCAACAGAATTATGAAAAGCATGCAACAGATGAAGGAATTTTCAGGCATGACAGACAAGTAATATGGCTTAGCTCATCTGGTAACAGAGATGGCTTTATTCTTCATACAGTTGAAATTCAAAGTCAAAAAAGAGCAATTCTTCCCCTGACACTTTTTTATATATTTCTGGATAAAAGATGCAGAAATGTTAATAAAGGTATATCATTGTTACTTCAGTCTTCTCTGTGAGTTTCAGGTAAGTTCTTCAACCCTGAGAAGCACTCACCACCCTTACGAGCATTCTGGATAGGAATCCCTACAAATTCCTTAATGCCATTTATTCTGCTGCCTCGTGTTGTGAGACACAGACATAAGCTAGCTGCTGTTGTAACGAGAGCTGATAGTGAGCGATGACATCTTCTTGGGCCCACTTTGTATAATTCAATCTCCAGCTACGTAGCCCAATATAATCCTCAATTGCGAAGTACAGTCCAGCATGTGGCTCCTCAGCCCAGACTTCCCTGGACCACTTATGTGCACTAGTGCACCTGCTGGCAATTATAACGCTTCTCAAAAAAAATCTTATTCCAGGCACCTACTGTTTCCAGAACAGGTTTGTTTTCCCCCTGCAGGCATAATTCTTCCACGAAAAAACAAACACATGAACAACAAAACCCATACCTGGTCCAGGGCTTAATAGCTGGAACCGCTAGAGGGCAGTTTGCTTTCAACCTGAATTCTCAGAACATTTTTATTCCTAAATCCATTTATACACATTGCCTCAGCCATGGTATTATGTTCAAGCCAGAAACTGTCTACTCATACGTAGCCTATTAGTATTTGTTCTTCGTTGGGACTTTGCCACAGGAAGAAATAAAAGAGAAGGAATAAATTATGTCCAAATAGCATCTGAGCATGCTGTTAACACCTGGGGTCATCACTAAGCTTCAACACCCCACAGCCTCTGCATGCAGTTCTTCAGCTGTATGTCTCAGCTGGTGCGTAACATGCAAAGCCCAGCCTCCCGAGTATCCTGAAACTTGTATGAGCCCTACAAAGATTTGTAGTACTATAAAGATGTACTTACATCTTGCAGAGCAAGCTACTGACCATGCTGTGGAGGATCTATATCATGGGCAGGGGAACAGAGAGCCATTTAAAAGACACCCAGAACGAGATTACTTGACCCAGTAGCACAAGGCAGCAGCCATGCACTGGCTCCCTTGTTCCCTCAACTTCCTAGTTGTTTTTCCTATTTTACCTGCAATACTACACATCCACAAGCAGAATCTTCAGTTTTTCTATCACTTGCCAGGCCTTACACCGCAAAAAGGTACAGTTACACAAAATACAAGTCAGTTTGAAAGACCTCAATCGCCTTTAATATGACTACACCAACATACTATGAATAATCAATTTGTCCAGAGGAAAAGCATCCTCTTGGGTTTACAGAAATATATGCACAATTACAGGGTTGGCTGGCCACTGATACTCATTTTAAGGCTAAGAGATCATTAGAGATACAAAGGCACAATCAAATACTGCTCATCAGCTGCAGGTGTATTCAAAAGCAGTGAACTAATTAGCACAGTAATGGCTGAATCAGCTCTCTGCCCTGTCTCCTCCCACAGTTGCTACCATTGGAATAGACATGAGTGAAACTCACACTTTGCTCCTGCATCATCACACAGCAGGCTGGCACCCTAGCAGGAACTGAAGCCCCCATCAATACAATCCATCGAGCTGTCAGTTCAGGACCCGATCTGGTCACTCTCCTGCTGTCTCTGCTGAGAGGCACTGGCTAAAGAAGCGAAATAAAACTTAAGCTACTGCAGCTTCATCGAGGGCTGTCTCGGCACCAGAGCTGCCACCAGTTCTGGTGGCTCTGCTGGCAGGCTATGGAACTCAGGCCTGCCTGAGCAACACCCTGAAACTTTTTTTTTTTTTTTTAAAGGATTACTAAAGAACTCAGCACTTGTTTTTAAGGTAGAGGAGTGGGAAAAAGCACAAGAAGAAACAAAGATATATGACAATAAAGGTTAAGGTACTTTTATTATAAAAGTCTATACAATGAGCACCAGACATAGCAATGCAATTACATCTGGTTTAGTTATATATATATTCCATATCTATATATCCATATAGATATATAGGTTTTGCTTTTACCAAAGTAAAACTGTTATATCACAAAATGCCTAGTTCTACCATTTATTTATTGCTCAACAAGGATGGCACAAAACACACTCATAGCATAACTGTTGCCATGCTTATCTACTATACTGAATAAACAGCCAAACACTGCATAACAAACACAAAGCAGCTGTTAATTCTGAATTGGAACCAGTCTGATCACTCACTCACTTATAAAAATATTGGAATCATATAGATTTAAGCATTATAAAGGAGGAATATATTATTTAAAACATTTAAATAGTGCATATTGACATTCTGCATGTGGTATATAAAACACAAACATTCATGTACAACACTATACAGTACACATTAGTTTCAATGTTTGGATACACCCGTGTCTGCAGACTGATAGAAAAGTAACTGAAGTGTACATTGCACAATGAAACTGAATAAAATTGATAAATGGTCTCGAGACTAGTTTAACCTCATAATTCTCTAAGGTCCCAGATCATTTTGCTGTTTGAAAAAAAAAAAGGCATACCACCAGTGCTCAATAGTTTTAGTGCTTTTTTTTTTTTTTTCTGAATTCCAAAATTACATGCCTACAAGCAGAGTAAAACAAAACGGGAAATATTCTACAGTACTCAGGTGAAATCTGAGCACTAAAACTCCTACTTTCGATCTATTTCATATGCTTCATGGCAGAATAGCAAGTCTATGAGGTTACATGCTAGCCACTTTTTTCTTTGTGAGAAAGTTCATTTTTGGTCTTTCATAAAGCAGTGTGAGTAATAGCTATGTTGACATCAGCCAGTCATAAAAACATGCAGTGAGAGGAGGTGCATGCAAAACATGGCCACAATCAAACTGATACACTGAAGAAAAAAATTGAGAAAGCACCAGATAAAATTAACACTTAGATTTTGCCAGATCAAAAACAGCTGCTGATGGCTGCTGCAGAGCAAAAAGCTAGCTAAATCATCATTCAGCACAGCAGATGTGATGCTCAAAACATTATTTAGTTTCAACTCTGAAGCTAAATCATGCAAGGCCCATAAACTGTTTTGCTTACATCATAAGAGTTAGATAACTTATTTTTATTCTCCAACTGTAAAACAAAACTGTGACAAACAGCAGTAACTTCTTCACTCAAAACCATCAGTTCACCCTGTGGTGTGCATGAACTACGCTGATTTTAGCCCTTGATACCATACTTGTTTCAGGTAGAGTGGATTTTTAACTGACCTAAGCCAGCTCTTTTCTGCTAGAGCTACCCAAGTCTGAGCAACATCAGATTTCCCACACACTGAAATGTTCATCCTGTTCAAGATCTTCTGAAAGTGGAGATGCAGTATCCAATTCAGACAAAACACTATGTCACCACTAGCTGATAAACAATAACCAATAGAATGAACAACAGTAACGTAAGTCCTGTAGGCAGCATGTGATATAACTTTTCAGTTTTCCAAGTATTAGAAGACACTAAGTAAGGTCACTTTCTTGTTTGTCCACTGTAATCTTTATCAAGGAGGAAACGTGACCACTAACGAGCAAAATCCACAGATGGTAATTATTACTGTTATAGATGCAATTTACTAAAACTTAAAGTTGTTCCACAGAAGTTCTTTGGAAGGAATTTCAGGCTGGCTTTTAAACGTTCCAGGAAAAAGAGCTGTATTTTTAATTTGCTGACTTTTTTCCCCACCCTACAATAAAATAGGCAACAGGAGTAGTTCAGTGTAGCATTATGGTATAAATAATTTCTTCAATAATGCAAAAGCTTAGTAACAACAAAAGTCTCCGAGTTCTTGAACACTAAATAACAAAATGCTACAGTTGTTTTGGAACAAGATGAATGCATCTAATACAAAAATTTTGATGGAAATTGTGTTTGCTAAAGTTGGATAGCGCAGTCTCAAACTTACAAATCTTATTTGCTCTCTAGACAGGACCTACTCACCGCTCAAACATGTTATAGTGGCACCACAATAAAGTGCACAAACTGGGTTCTTTCAACAGCGCATGACAAATGAACATAAGCACCCGATAAGTACAGTGGTAGCATACGGAAACGTTATTCAATGTTTTGGAGGAACGCAAGTTAAATTGATTTTGAAGAATCCTGTTTGCTGATTAGGACTTCTAAGAGCCTAAGTTTGGCTTTAATTTTCTTGTACTCCCTGTACTCCTCAAGCATTGGAACACGATCTTCTTTCTGTACATTCCTGTAAAAAGAAGCACACCTAAGTTTCAGGAAAACCCTCCATGATGCAGCAAATCAAACGTAAGAGCAACCATGTGCAGTTATCTTAGGACAGAAAAATATTGTTGTCAGGCAATTCACCAATAACAGACTGTCATATTTTAGTTCCTGGCACTTAACATTGCCATCACCTAATAAAACTGAAGCATTTATTCAGTGCAACTTATTAACAGGATATGAAGATTTCAGACCCTGTGTATATATTAAATAAAAAGACAAATAAATTTAAGTATATCTCTATTTTCACTGTATGCAGACTGACCCACAAATTGATAGCAGAATATTAGTCTTATTTAAGCCTGGATTATAATAAATTAGTGATTAATAGGACTTTCTTTTTAAATGAACTCTTCATTATTAACCTCATTATTTGCCATTAAAGTCAAAAGGAGTTATGTCCCTATTTCTGCAAATGTACGATGAAGCCCTGTTAGCTGAATTTGCATGACTTATGGTCTGGGAGTTTATAGTTACAAGAGAAATACAACAGGAAGTGTACTTAAATGGGTCACAAAAAATTGGCCTCTTAGCATGTTGTGATTTTTGTTCATGATACAATACACTTTGAAAAATCTCCTACAGCATGAACAGGGAAGCAGTTCAGTTGAACTCGTAACACATTCAAATAAGAAGCCTAAAAGAACAATACAGGAAAGAGTAAAAGTGCTACACCCTTTCAGTGTTGAAGCAAATACCCACTGTCTGGACTAACCTGCTGAAAAAGAAAGACAAATAGGTGTTTCTTGGGCAGGGAAGTTTGCCTGTGTACCTGAGTTTGGTTGGTTTTGTTTGTTAATAAAACTACTTCTTTAAAAAAAAATGTAAAGAAATGGTA